GTAGAAGAAATTCAAAGCATGACACAATCACATGAATGGCGACATATTCGAACAAGTCAGAATCCCGACGATTTAATTTCTCGAGGTTTGTCTCCAAAAGAAATAATTTCTAATTCTTTTTGGTTTAACAGACCTACCTGGCTTAGTGACCATGAGGAGAAATGGCCTTTGTCTCATTTGGAACCCAATGAGATTCCTGAACAAAAGAAAATTGAACAACAGCTAAGGGTAAATCTAACTCGCGTTAATTCTTTTTCTAATTCATTATTTGCGAAATTTAAATCATTTACAACTATGATACGCATTGTAGCTTACTGTAAACGATTTATTAATCTGAAATTACATAAACTCGATATAAAAGGCCCTCTCTCGTCATGTGAATTAAAAATCGCTACTATTATTATAATCAAGATGTTACAGCGTGAAACATTTGCAAATGAAATTCACATGTTTGAATCAAGGGGTCAAATCGATGGGCATTTAGCCCCACTATCTCCTTTTTTGGTTTCTGAAGGAGTGTTAAGAGTTGGAGGAAGACTTAAACAATCCGACCTCGCCTTTTCTGAAAAACATCCCACATAACACAACATTTCGCAGGAAGTTTGCAAGGAGTTCGCAATGCGAAGTTCGGGAGTTCGCACTGCGAACTCCCTGCGAACTTCAGGCGAAAACTAAATGTCCGCTCTTTTGCGAGTTCGCAGAGCGATTTCTCTGGGAAGTCGCTGCAAAGTTGAAATGTTAATTCGCAGCGAATTATCTGGTAGTTATCCGTGATAAGTTCGGAAATTATCACTGATAATTTTAGATAGGTTATGGATGTAAATTTGCTGAAAAAAATAAGACAAATATTTGTTAAATATTAAAAATAATTTTATAATAAAAGAAAAAAATTTATTTTTCTTATTTTATTATTTCATTATTATTCTAATTAATTTTGGGAAGTTATGAGTTTTGGAGAAAGTTTTTTTATTGTGAAAAACAATTTGGAGGGACTGGGGATAGAACGCGGGATTGACGGACGGAAACGAAAACAACCAACCTAACCAACTGAGCTAAACGACCAACTACTGAAACAAAAAAAAATCTTTCTCTTAAGTTACATGTGATTTTATTGATTGACAGAAGGAAGGCAGGTTAATTTAAAAATATTTTTTTAGCATGTCTCGTATAATTGAAATATTTTAATTATTATTGCAAATGATATTTTTAAATAAAAATTTAAAGTATTTAGTATTCAAATAAGACTGACAAAATAAACATATTAACTAATTAAATTAAATAAATCAATTTTTTACAGTATTTATTTCAATGCTTTGATTTCCAATTAAATTTGTCTTCAATTTATAATTATGTTACTCAATAATTAAATGTATTATATATTTTTTCTAAGAATAAATTTTCAATTTCATGAAATAAATTAACCAATTAATATAATAAATTAAAAAAATCGTTTATCGGATGAATATTGTAAAAAAAACTTTTAATATAGACAAAAAATAAATAATTTAATTAAACAATAATTAAATTTTTTATAACGTTTTTAATTAAGTTTAATTAAACTATGGTGAAAATAAAAAATTTTGTACACTTTCTAGAAACCTGGAATAACTAGAAAAACCATGGAAAAATCGGGGAAAAATTATAAAGTACCTGGAAAAAATTTTTCTTTCAAAATTATATTAATACTAGCTGTCGTGCCCGTCTTCGACGGGTTTTAGTTTCTACTAATGCATTTAACAGTACCTATGTCTAGCACACTAGAAAACCGGAAAACAGCCGATAATTTAATTTGACTGGAAAAAATAATAATTAGTTACCATTAACTATTTCATTAGGAAAATGTTACTATTTAAATCAGTGACTAACGTTTTATTATTAAATTAGTTATTTTTAACCTATTCAAATGCAAAGGACAAAATATTTGTTAATTTTTTGTACTTTAATTAATGTATTAAAAATTGATTCAAAATTTCCACCAATTTTTGGAGCTTTAGTAGAGTTTAATTTGAACTAATTGTATAATTAGTATAATTATTACATCAATGAAAAGTAAAGTAAAATGCAATTTTTTAAAAGCGAATTAATGTAATCAAACTTTTTTAAATTTGTTTATTTTATCAGTCTTATTTAAATACTAAATACTTAAAATTTTTATTTAAAAATATCATTCGCAATAATAATGAAAATATTTTAATTATACGAGATATGCAAAAAAAAGATTTTTTAATTAACCTGCCTTTCTTCTGTCAATCAATAAAATCACATTTAACTTAAGAGAAAGATTTTTTTTTGTTTCAGTAGTTGGTCGTTTAGCTCAGTTGGTTAGGTTGGTTGTTTTCGTTTCCGTCCGTCAATCCCGCGTTCAATCCCCAGTCCCTCCAAATTGTTTTTCACAATAAAAAAAACTTTCTCCAAAATTCATTATTTCCCAAAATTAATTAGAATAATAATAAAATAAGCAAAATAAATTTTTTTCTTTTATTATAATAATTATTTTTAATATTTAACAAATATTTGTCTTATTTTTTTGAGCAAATTTACCTCCATAACCTATCTAAAATTATCAGTGATAATTTCCGAACTTTTCACAGATAACTACCAGATAATTTGCTGCGAATTAACATTTCATCTTTTCAGCGACTTCCCAGAGAATTCGCTCTGCGAACTCGCAAGAGGGCGGACATTTAGTTTTCGCCTGAAGTTCGCAGGGAGTTCGCAGTGCGAACTCCCGAACTTCGCATTGCAAACTTCCTGCGCAATGTTGTGTTATGTGTTATTAAGTTAGTTAGTTAGTAAGTTAGTAAGCTACTTAGTAAGTTAAGTTATTGAGTTAGTTAGTTAGTAAGCTACTTAGTAAGTTAAGTTATTAAGTTAGTAAGCTACTTAGTAAGTTAAGTTATTAAGTTAGTAAGCTACTTAGTATGTTAAGTTATTAAGTTAGTTAGTTAATAAGTTAGTAAGCTACTTAGTAAGTTAAGTTATTAAGTTAGTTAGTTAGTAAGCTACTTAGTAAGTTAAGTTATTAAGTTAGTAAGCTACTTAGTATGTTAAGTTATTAAGTTAGTTAGTTAATAAGTTAGTAAGCTACTTAGTAAGTTAAGTTATTAAGTTAGTTAGTTAGTAAGCTACTTAGTAAGTTAAGTTATTAAGTTAGTAAGCTACTTAGTATGTTAAGTTATTAAGTTAGTTAGTTATTAAGTTAGTAAGCTACTTAGTAAGTTAAGTTATTAAGTTAGTTAGTTAGTAAGCTACTTAGTAAGTTAAGTTATTAAGTTAGTAAGCTACTTAGTAAGTTAAGTTATTAAGGGGTTACATGGGTCAAAACGTCCAGACAATGTATGATTGTTTAATTTTTTTTTTTTTCATAAAATAAATAAATTTTTTATTTGAGTGTTTTTATATCTTAAAGTCCACTATTAAAAGAGTAACTTGTAAAAATTTCGTTAAAAAATATTTAAAATCAGGGCCGTACCTACAGAATCTTTGAGAACTCTTCCAAAAAAGCGGTGGTCACGATATCTTGTGACCGGTTCATTGAAAATCAAAAAACCAAATATTTTCTGTTAGTGGATGAATATAGCTCGTGATTGAACGAAGGAATATTTTTTTTGTTGATTAGAACCGATTTTACATGGTCTTAATGGTTCTAAAAATTTTAACTTTTGATAAAAGACACTGTCAAACATCCAAATTTCAATTTCTTTGAAAACCCTTCGTTCAATCACGAGATATATTCACCCACTAACAGAAAATTTTTTGTATTTTGATTTTGGATGAAGCAGTCAAAAGATATTTTGACCACCGCAAAAGCAATTTTTTTTTAAAGGGGCCCGAAAAACTGTTGCTACGGGCCTGATTTTTAATATTTTTTATCAAAAATTTAATATCTTTCTCATTTAATAGTGTACTTTCAGATACCAAAGTGTTCAAATAAAAAAATTTATTTATTTTATGAAAAAAAAATTATTAAAAAAACATACGTTTTCAGGTCGTTTTGACCCATGTAACCCCTTAAGTTAGTTAGTTAGTAAGTTAGTAAGCTACTTAGTAAGTTAAGTTATTAAGTTAGTAAGCTACTTAGTAAGTTAAGTTATTAAGTTAGTTAGTTAGTAAGTTAGTAAGCTACTTAGTAAGTTAAGTTATTAAGTTAGTTAGTTAGTAAGTTAGTAAGCTACTTAGTAAGTTAAGTTATTAAGTTAAGTAACTAAGTAAGTTAGTAAGTAAGTTAGTTAGTAAGTTAGTTAGTTAACCCTCTGCTGATGCTAACTTATCCCCACTCTATCGCCAAAACACGTAACTCCCATAGTCCCAGGCGTCCAGAATGACGATTTTTGACGATAACGGTCGTTAGCATCAGCAGAGAGTTAATAAGTTAGTTAGTTATTTTAACAAATCGTTGACTTGGTGTTTGATTTAAAGTAAAATTTCATTCATACTTAAAAATAACACAAAAATAGATTATTTTAATCCTTTCTGGTGTTAATTTAATCCCCGTGGGATTAATCTGTTGCAGATTATTGTAATCCATTTTGGTGTTATTTTAACACCTCACGATTTAACGTGATAATAAAAATTATTCGTTTCTCATTTAATTTAAGCCTCTCCTGAACAATCAATCGATATTTGAGGAATTTCTTGTCTCACACCGTGCATGACTTTATTTATCATCAATCGTACGCGTATATCGTTCTGTATTTATAAATTCCACACAAGCAATACTTAATTACCCACTGTACTTATTATTTTCAAGTATAGAGCATAATTAATGACTAAATTAAAAATTAATTTCAAGTGTAATAAATTGTTCAATGAAACATGAAGAGTCATAAAATTAGTATCAGGTGTCACAGTGTCTTTCATCTGGAACTCGACTATACACAATCGTTGTTATACTCCTACTGACTCACGTAAACTCGAATAATGTCGAGAGGGGGGATTTTAGATAAAATAAGTGCGCTAACGTCGCTTCAAGAATAACAGGTACTCGCTGAGTAATATTATTCCCGTATATATATATACCATATGTATATATATGCTCGGCGTGTAGCGCACATGTGTACAGAGCCTATGTGGCTGTGTGAGGTTTTATCAGAAGATATCTTCAGGTCGTATCTAGTATAATGATAACATGCGTGTTCATACATTCACGGTACCGCACCTCTAACGCGTCGTGTTTCATTTGCCGGCACATTTTTTTTCTTTAAATTCTCATAAAAGACAGATGTTTCCTTTCTGTTTTATTTCATTTATTTCGTCATGAATTTCTAAAACGTGACCTCCAATTCAAGAAATCAACGAACGAATGCCGCCGTAGAAAAAAAATTTAAAGTTGAACACAGTGTGTTTTTAAAACGGTTCTTTGGTAGATGAAATATCGCGTGTGTGCATTTCTAGAACGGTAAGTGAAGATATCATTTTTGATTAAAAGCAAGAGAGAGGAGGAGGAAAGAGAGAGAATTAATAATTTTAGTTTTCCGAATTCATGTCGTCAGCATTCATAATATAAAAACTTCAATTAGTAACATTGTAAGTACATGACATTTGTTTCTCTTTTTTTTATTAAAAACACGAGATTTTTATTTATTGCTCTCCTTTTTCTTTTCTTTTTTTTTTCATTAGATAATCATTTTCCCAAGATTAGAATGACAATGTTGTATTATGTTTACAATAAAGACAATTTTTATTCATAAAAATTTTTTTTTTCTTTAGCGAAAAATTCTTTGGAATATTGTTAGCATAGTTCTTACTTCTCAGTTTTCTGAATATTCAAAATGTTTAAAATTAACATCATTGATAAATTTTTAATAATTTATTATTTTTATTTTAACTTAATATTTTTAATTTATTAAACATTTTTATAATATTAATTATGTATCATAATTTACTTATAATTTATTGTTAATCTAATTTAATTTTACATTTAAATTAATAATAACTTACTATTTTTGATTTATTAAACATTTTTATAATAATAATTACTTATAAGGTATAATTTATTTATAATTAATTATTTATGTTACTTATTTATAATATAAACAGTATCTGAAAAAAATTTATTTGATTTAAATAATCGATTACTTGACTATGAAATAAATATTTACTTGAATCAAATAATTTTTTTCAGTGTATAATATAACATAAACAATAATATAATATAAAATAAATATTAATATAATATAAACACAGTTTTCTCAAAGGTATCAATTGGATACCAAATTGGATCAATTTAATAGCAAAAATTTGAATCAAATTTGGATTTGATCCATAATTTTTGTATCAATTCGTTGCAATTTGATACTTTTTAGTTAACAGTGGAATAATTAATAATGTAGTAATAAAAAATATACATAAATAGATAAAAAAAATAGTTGTAATAAAAATAAATAATTGAAAATTATATTTAATATAAAATAATAATAAATATGTAATGAAAATATAAAATTAAAAATACTGGAAAATTATAAAAATATGTATGAATAAATTAAAAATTAAAAATTTTTTTGAATTCTTTAATTAATTTATTAATTAATTATTTAAAATTAATTTTTTTCGAACTCTTCTTCGAATATTATTGACAAACGTATTACACCGAAGATTTGTATGATTGAACTGATGATTCATTATTACAGTATATCTGATAAATATTTTTGTGGCCAAGTTTCATTTTATGACATAAAAATGAATTTTATTGTAAAATAAATATAGTGTTTTCCATTTCCGTTTATGTAAGATTTATTTACTTGGAATTTCTTTTTAAAATAACATTTTGTCTAATAGAAGAAAAAAATTTTTTGTATTTAAATGTTAATCTTTAATAGTTCAAAATGTAAAACTGCTTTTACAGTTTTGACGCAATTCTATAAATAAAAAAAATTGCACAGTATTTTTTATTTTAAAAAATATTTTTTCTTCTTTTAGAAATTCTAAATAGAATACAAATTTTTAAAAGTGTGTAACAAAATTTCCTTAATGAAAATGAATCACACTACAAGAATTGATAAAAAAAAAATTATTTTTAGCTTCATTTCGTTTTGTTTCGCAAATTCACATTTTTATGTTTGTTTATTTACATTTTTTATTTATAGTTTTTTGTTTACTTATTTATTTTTTATTTTGTGAATATTATTGAAAAGAGGAGTTAAAGAGTATTTTTTTTTATTTTTCTTCGAATATTATTGAAATGGTGAGTTTTTTGCAGGTCGAGCAATGACAATAGGACCTCGGGAGGTGATGAGGTCGGAGGCTGAAGGTTTCACAGGACCAGCGCATCCAATTTCCGAGCAATCGATAGATTGTGGTTGCAGTCAAGTGAGATGCCCGAAATTAGAACGATTTGCGACACGCTGTGTGTTTGTAAGCCTCCTGTGTTGGTTGGGCCTATTACAAGCAGCGGCGCATTCATATTTATACATAACAAGTTCCACAGTCGCCAGAAGATTTCAAATTGATCCCTACTCGATGGGTAGGTTTCACGACTAAAAAACACATCTCAAGTGAAAATTTAAATAAAAAATAAACAATTATTAATAGAAATTATAATTAATTATTATTAGAAATTATAATCAAGAAATAACAATTATTATTGATTAACAAATTAATAAAATACTTAATTATTCAATTAACAATAATAATAATAATTATAATTATAATAATAATTATTAATAAGCAATTAATAAAATATTTAATTATTATTAATTAACATTTAATAAAATATTTAATTAATTAATTAACAATTATTATTAATTAATAATAAGTAAAATATTTAATTAAGCAATTAACAATTATTATTATTACTTCGACTCAAAGTGATTGATAACTTCATTATTTTATTATTTTGGAAACCGATTAACAGCATCATTATTTAAAAATTATTAATAACAATTAACATCATTAACAATTATTAATTAACAATTTTAATAATTATTTATTTTTAAATTTTCCCGGAATTATTCACAAAGAGTTAGTCCCCAATTTTTTCATAGTTTTAATTAATTTTTCAATTCTTATTAATTTTTAAAAAATTTTAATTAATTAAGTAAAAATATTAATTTTAATTTCAATTGTAAACAAACATTAGGTATAATAAACACATTCCTGAGAATTAAAGGTTAACAGTTTCCTAGGAATTATTATTAAAATTTATTATTAAGAATTCTTATCAAAAATTTAAATAACTAATAATTATAATGACGAGCGAGGAAAATTATTACCAATTACAAATAATTAAATATTAAAATAATGGAAAATTAATTTTCTTATAATTTTCAGGATGGATTCTAGCAGTTTCGGAAATCACGCCATTTTTTCTAGGACTTGTCATTGCATATTGGGGCGATCGAATTCACAGAATCTGTTGGTTGGGTGGTGTTATATTTTCACAATGTATTGGATTTATTTTAATTATAATGCCCCAATGGGACACTCATTATAGAGTTATTGAACAAGCGACAAATAACACTCACATGTCTTTGTACGCAGGTAACTATCTTGTTTTTTTTTTTTTGCTTTAAAGAAAATTTTTTTTCGAAAAATTTACAAAAAAGTTTTTTAAAAGTGATTGTACACTATTTTTGTTTTACAAAAAAAAATCATGATTATTATTTTCCATATAAAAAAATATTAAATTTCTGTTTTCCTTTTATAAGAATTAATAGAAATGTAGATTTTTATTTTCAGTGCGAAAATAGAAATAAATATTTTCGTTTTACCTGCAAAAATAAAAATCTAGATTTTCGTTCTTCTTACAAGAGGAGAGAAATCTAGATTTTTACTTTTCTTATAAAAATAGAAATCTACATTTTTGTTCTCTTCAAAAGAATAGAAATGTAAATTTTTACTTTTCATAGAATAATATAAATCTAGATTTTTGTTTTCCTTACAAAAAGAAAATCTAGATTTCTGGATTTTTTACAAACATAATAAACAACTGCATTTTTGTTTTCTCTACAAAAAAAAGAACTAGAATTATATTTTCTTTGTAAATACATAAATCTAGTTTATTGTTTTCTTTATACAAAAATAGAAATATAGATTATTACTTTCATTGAAAAAGTAGAAATCTAGATTTTTGTATTCCTTACCTAAAAGAAAAACTGGAAAAAAAAGAAAAAAAAAGTAAAACTGGATTTTTGTTTTCGTTCAAAATAAAAAAATCTAGATTTGTATAGTCTTTATAATAATAAAAACCTAGATTTTTGGTTTTCTTACAAGTAATAAATGTAGATTTATAATTTCCTTACAAAAAAGAAATATTTAAATTTTTATTCTTCTTACAAGTAATAAATAAATCTAGATTTTTAATTTCCTTCCAAAAATACTAATCTCAATTTTTGTTTTTCCTACTAAAAAAAATCTAGATTCTTGTTTCTCCTATAAGAATAGAAATTTATATGTTTTACTTTCCTTATAAAAATAGAAATCTTCATTTTTGTTTTCCCTACAAAAAAGAAATCTAGATATTTGTTCTTTCTACTTAAAGAAAATCTAGATTTTTGCTTTTTTAAAAAAATTGACAACTGTTTTTTTTCCCTTCAAGAAAATATAAGACTAGATTTTTACTTTCCTTGTAAAAATGCAAATGTAGATGTTTACTTTCCTTGTAAAAGTAGAAATGTAGACTTTTGTATTCCTTACCAAAAAGGAATTTTTTTATCATTATAAAAAATGAAATCTAGATTTTTTGTATTTTTTACCAAAAAGAAAACTAACTTTTTGTTTTCGTTAAAAATAAAAAATCTTGATTTTGATTGTCTTTATAATAATAAAAACCTCGATTTTTGGCTTTCTTACAAGTAATAAATATAGATTAATAATTTCCTTATAAAAAGAAATATAGATTTTTACTTTTCTTGCTAGTAATAAATCTAGATTTTTAATTTCCTCACAAAAATAAAAATCTTAATTTTTGTTTTTTCTACTGAAAAGAAATCTAGATTTTTGTTTTTCCTATAAGAATAGAAATTTATATGTTTTACTTTCCTTATAAAAGTAGAAATCTACATTTTTTCTCCCTACAAAAAAGGAATCTACATTTTTGTTTTCCCTACAAGAATGAAAATCTAGATTTTTATTTTCCCTAAAAAAAAGAAATCTAGATTTTTGTTCGTTTGCCAAAAAATGCAAATTAAATTTTTTTGTGTTCTTCATAAGAACAAAGATTTTTATTTTCTTAACAAAAATCATAATTAGATTTTTATTTTTCTACTATACAAAAATAAAAATCTAGATTTTTGTTTTTCCGTACAAAAAATAAATCTAGTTTTTTATTTCACTTACAAGTAATTTACTCCAAATTTTTAAATTCCTTACAAAAATGAAAATCTAGATTGTTATTTCCCCACTACAAAAATTGAAATCTTGATTTTTGTTTTTGTAGTACAAAAATAAAAATTTCGATTTTTGTTTTGGTAATACAAAAATAAACAATTTAGATTTTTGTTTTCCTACTATAAAAATAAAAATCTTGTTATATTTTTTTTTGTATAAAATGTAATAATTCTGATTTTCATATAGAATAAAAATTAATACAATTTTGTTGCGTATGTGAGGGAAACGCATTTTTTCTCATTGTTAAATGTACACTTGGGTCATAGCGACCTACTTTTCTGTTATCACCACACGATGAACACTCATCTTATCTCACTCATAAAACTTGAATCGATATTATTATATTAAAGAATCTCATTTAAAATTAACTTTTAAAAAAATATATTTATATACACAAATAATCTTCTTTTTCCGCAGACGAAAGTCAAGAATTATGTTTGAGCGCTTCATCGAGAATTGTATTTGAAGACGAGCACATTCAATATGGAGTAATATTTATTCAAATTTTCGCTCAAATTTTAACTGGTATCGCAAATATTGGCTATTATGCATTTGGAATTTCCTATTTGGACGATAATACAAAAAAAATTCATATTTCGTCATTTTTGGGAATTATTGTTGCTATCAAAGTAATTGGTTCATTGCTCGGTTATATTCTCGCCTGGGCTTGTCTCAGGTAAAAGAAAAAAAATATATAAAAATACACCGTTTACTTAAAAGTAACAAATTTCAACGAATTGATACCAAAAATGTGGATCAAATCAAAATATTGATTCAAATTTTTTGTATCAATTTGATCAACTTTGGTATGAATTTAATATTTTTAAGAAAATTGTGTAATTAAGTTAATTCTTCACTTTTAACTCTAGACAGTATAACTGGGGTAGTAAAGTAAAGTCATTAGTAAAAATGCTAATTTCAGTATTTTTCATAAGTTTTGTATTTTTTATTCTAGTTTTAGTAACTTTTTGACCATATTTTTCATCCAATTAAAAAAATAGAGAAAGCTAATTTTTTCTTTATAAAAAATGAAGAAAATGACGTATAATAAAGTCTTTTTTCGTTAAATATGAACATTCTAGCAACAAAACAATTTTGGGGTAATTTCGTACCCCAGTTGTACTTATGAGCCCTATGTTATACTGTCTAGGATTATTAATAGATATTAATTACGTTTTATGAATATTTTAATTATTAATAAAAACTATTTATTTAAATATTTTTTTACAACGTTTGTACAACGTACAACGTTTTGAGTCAAATTATAAACTCCTCTTCAGGGACATATTAAAAACATAAAAATTATTTTTAAAAAACACATAATTTTTATTAATAATGAAATTATTGGCAAATGTTAAAGTTCTTTGAAAATAAATTTTTTACTTGTGAGAAATTCGTTGAGGGTTGGTTAAGAAAAAATATATAATTAATCAATAAAAACTGATTACAGACTTCGCACTCGATAATTAATTTTAAAAAAGTAGCTTTAAAACTAAAAAAAAGTATCCATCGAAAAATTAAACTTGACGACCAAAAAAACTCATTTTAGACATTTCACAAAACTGACAAAAAATTCCATTCTATATTTTATTTTCCTGACTTTTTTCTAATTTTTATCAAAAAATTTAGTTCTTTCTTGTCCTGCTTATAATTTGAATTCCTGCAACGAATTTTATTATTCATGAAAAAATTTAAATCTTTATAAAAATAATTTAATTCTTGCCAAGAATTTTTATAAATATTTTTAAATAATTGATTTCTTTTCGACTAATTTTATGCAAATTTCAATTTAAATAATTGAATTTTTGAGAAATTGTTATTATTTATAAAAAGAATCGAATTCTTACGAAGATTTTCACAAAAAAAATTTTAAATAATTTGACAAACAATTCTATTAAAATTTTTGAGAATAATTGATTGTCTGTGTGACATTTTAATAAATTTTTTTAAATATAATTGAATTCCTAAAAAGCATTTTATTATTTATCAAAATAATTGAATTCTTGCGAACGATTTTATTAGAATTTTTTAAAATAATTGAATTCTTGTGATGAATATTGTTATTTATGAAAATAATTAAATTTTCGGGAATAATTATTTTGTTATGTATTGAAATAATTAAATTCTTTCGAAGAATTATTTATGTAAATAATTGAATTCTTGAGAAGAAATTTATTAAAATCTAAAAGAATAATTAAATTATTTAAAAAAAAAATTAATTAAAATTGCATTTAAAATAATTTATTTCTTTCGAACAATTTCATTAAAATATTTGAAAATATTTGAATTCCTGTGAAAAATTCTAATATTTTTGTAAATAGGTAATTAAATTCTTTCAATAAATTTTAAACAAAACATTTTTTTAAATAATTAACTTTTTCAAGAAATTGAAATTAAATTTTTATAAATAATTACAATTTTTAAGCAATTCCTGTGAAATAGTATTAAAAATAATTGAAATCCAGCGATTAATTTAATTATTTATGAAAATACTTGAATTCTTGCAAACGATTTTATTAGAATATTTTTAAATAATTGAATTTCTAAAAAGAAATTTATTACTTTTAAAAATAATTGAATTCTTGTGATGAATATTGTTATTTATAAAAATAATTGAATTTTGCCAAGAATTTTATTAAAATGCCTCAATAGATTGAATTTTCGGAAATAATCTTTTGAAGAATTTTTTCGAGGAATTGAAATTGAATTTTTATGAATAATTACAATTTTTAAGCAATTCCTGTGAAATTGCATTAAAAATAATTGAAATCCAGCGATAAATTTTATTATTTATGAAAATAATTGAATAGTTGAAAAGAATTTTATTAGATTTTAAAAAATTATTGAATTTCCAAGAATAAATTTATTACTTTTAAAAATAATTGAATTCTTGTGATGAATATTGTTATTTATGAAAATATTTGAATTTGGCAAAGAATTTTATTAAAATGTCTCAAAATAATGGAATTTTCGGGAATAATTTTGTTATTATCGAAATAATTAAATTCTTTCGTAGCATTATTAATGTAAATAATTGAATTTTTGGGAAGAATTTTATTAAAATCTAAAATAATAATTGAATTATTTCAAAAAAAAAATAATTAAAATTGTATTTAAAATAATTGATTTCTTTCGAACAATTTCATTAAAATATTTGAAAATAATTAAATTGTTGTGAAAAATTTTATTAAAATTTTAAAAAAGAAAGGAATTGAATTCTTCATAAGAATGTCATAAACATTGTTTTAAATAATTAATTTTTTCGTAATATAATAAATATTATAAAAATTTTATTTCTTGTGGAAAACTTATTTGTGAAATTAATTGAATTTTTCGATTAATTAATTTAAAATAGTATTATAAAAATAATTGAAATTTTTCAATGAGTTTTATTATTTATGAAAATAATTGAATTCTTGCTTAAAATTTCATCAAAAATTTTCTTTAAATATTAAGTTTCCATGAAAAATGTTATCTAATTAGTGAAAGTAATTGAATTATTGTGAAGAATTGAATAAAACTTTGGTTAAATAATTGATTTATTTAAAAAAAAAAGTATCCAAATAGTATAGCATAACGTGAAAGAAGTAGTAAATAGTAGGTTTTAGTAATTGAGTGCAAAGCATGTGATTATAATTTTTAACTTATGATTTTCTTTGTAGAATAGATTCGGAAAATTTGGAAATTGTTCAATCGTACACTGAACAAATTGGAGCATGGTGGCTAGGCTGGCCAATACTGACAGTTCTTATTTTCGTTGGAGCTATTTTTCTCTCATGGTTTCCTCGAAGATTGCCATCAGAGGTATTAAAAATTCTGTGAAGAATTATTTCAAAGTTAATCTCTATTTAATTTCCTCTCCTCTCTCATTATATAAAAAGTTATATAATATTATAATTAATATTAAAATTTTACAATCAGAATTAATCTCTTTTCGAAATTTTCTTGTAGTTTTTCAGTGCGAAGTGGTCCCCCCACCATACGTCTGAGTGGTGGGGGGACACTTCTCTTATTCTTTTACCCATTGACTGCTTATAAACAAAATTCAGGATAACTTTCAATGTAAAGTTTATTTTTTAAGTTAATTTACAACAATTAAGTGCGTTTATTGTTTGTTAACTCGTTTGTTAAGTTTTTTATTTAAATTTCGCACTCATTTGTTCAAATTATTGTATTTTTTTCCTTTTTTTTCTTTACTTTCGCAAAAAAGAAGTATTTGAGTAAAAAAAAATTGAAATAGTACAATGTGTCAGACTAATTGCAAATGAACTTGAAATTATTCAAGGTGGTGCAGCAGGCGGCGGAAACAATACTCGACGAAGCAAGTGGAACGTTACGAACTTCGCAAGTGGCCTTCAAAAAAGTCGGCAGCACACGATTCCTCCCATCGATATTGAGGCTCGTTACTAATAAAATTCTGATCTCTAATGTTTTTGCAGCAGCTTTCTGTGCCATGGCCATTGTTAATTTCATAGCAAACGAAAACATATTTCTTGAGTCACGTTTTTATGTGCCCAGGCCTACTGGTTTACTTCTTGGATTTAGTGATCCTCTCACTTCCCGTATTGCAACAAGTATTTAAATATTTATTATCAATTCTGACAGGAATTCTGATTTATATCATTTTGATAATTAATTTTGTCGAAATTAGAAAATTTACTGAATTTATTGTCAAAAATTTTTTTTAAAAAAGTGATAATTTATTGTCAAATTGAGTAATTAAATTTGTTAATTATTTCCTTAATTATTTTTGAATTTTTTGCAGCATTTCTAAAACCAGTTGTGATTGGATTAGTTGTGATAGTATCGGGATTGGTAATCGCAAAAGCAAAACCGAAAGCCAGGACACTAGCTATTTATAGTATCGTAATCACTATCGTAACGGGAATTATACTTATTTCTCTCGCATTTGTTGACTGCGCCAAGAAACCAATAGTTGGCGTCAATAATAATGGAATGTGAGTTTTTAGCTAATTAATCTACAATAATTAATTAATACTAACAACAAATTTTCTATTCACGGCTCCTATTTTCAATCGTATGAAGCTTTTCATTTTTATGAAAAAACAAATTTTTTCAACTTTATTTTATCATAAATAAATTACTATTATCCGTAAAAAACAGTTTTTTAAAAGAAAAGTCTGTTAAGTTTGTAATTTGTTTAAAAAAGTACGAAGAGTCCGTAAATTGTACTATCCTACAACTCAAATTCTCTTGAAATTAGTTACATTTTTTAATACATAATTAATTATTAAAAATAATGGATTTATAAAAGAATTTATATTTAAAAAAAACACTAAAAATAATTGAAAAATAAATTTAAAGCCATGAAAAAATAATTAAACTAAAAATAATGAAATTTTAGACAAGTTACAATTGGATGAATAAATTAAATTGTTTACAAAAGTAATAAAATTCTTCGCAGAAATTTAATTATTTGCAAAAATTAGAAAAAAATTATTGTCAAAATTTCAATTATCTTTGTAAATAACAACATTCTTCTTCAAAATTCAATTACTTTGAAAAATTTTAAATAAATTTTAAAAAATTTCAAAATTTCAATTATTTTCAAACATTTTTCTCAATTCAATGATTTTCAATATCTAATATTTTAATAGAATTTTTCAAAAGAATTCAATTTTTAAAAAAAAATTTTAAATGAAAGTTCTTTGCAAGCATTTCATTATTTTCATAAAAAATAAATTCTTTTTACAGGATTTCAATTATTTTCAAAAATAATAAAATACTTTTCAGGAATTCAATTATTTTCATAAATAATAAAATTTTTTAGACATTCCATTATTTTCATAAATAATAAAACGCATTGCAGAATTTCAATTACTTTTAATTCAATTTTAAATTTTAATCAAATTCCTCAAAAATGGTAATTTTTCTTAAAAATTTGTTCATAAAATTCTTTAAGAATATTCAATTTTAAGAAACGTTTAATTAGTTAATAAATTATTTATTTTATTTTTATACTAAAACACTAAAAAAATTGAATTTTGGAGAAGTTACAAATGATTACAAAAAATTAAATTATTTTTAAAAGTAATAAAATTCTTGACAAAATTTCGTTTATTTTCAAAAAATTTCCTCAATTAATTGATTTACAATATCTACTATTATAATAAAATTCTGCAAAACAAATTAATTTAAAAAAAAATTTATAAAATTCTACCTAAATATTTAATTGTTTTTATAAATAATTAAAATTTCACAAAAATTCAATTATTTAAAAAATTTTTATAAATTTTTTCGCAATAATTCAATTATTTTCGTAAATAATTAATATTTTTACAGGGATTCAATTATTTTCAAAAATAATAAAATTCTTTTTAGGAATTCAATTATTTTCATAAATAATAAAACTCATTGCAGAATTTAAATTATTTTTATTTTAATAATTAAAATTTAACGATCATTACGAGTCAATAATATTATTATATATTATTGACTCGTAATGATCGTTAAATTTTAATTATTAAAATAACTAATACGAACGAGTGATAAAGTCATATTACCATTTAAATTATTTTTATTATAATTTTAATCAAATTCCTGGAAAAATGTAATTATTCTTAAAAATTTTATTAAAATTCGTCGAAAGAATTCAATTATTTAAAAATTTGTTGATAAATTTATTTTGCGGGAATTAAACTGCAAGAAACATTTAATTATTCAATAAATTATTATTTTATTTCTGTAGTAAAATAACTGAATTTTCGTAGAATGTTTTAACAAAAATTTATTTAAAAATGAATTTCAGTTAAAATTTTAGATTATGATTGAGTATTAAAAGCATTACAGCGTGAATTTTTTTTAGAAATAATTGAATTTTGAAAAGGTTTCCAAATTAAAATTTATGAAAATTTGAATTTTTCATACTTTTAACAAACTATTCGGAAGAATTATTTTTTTTTTGAAAAGTTTAATTGAATTATTTTAAAATTATTTAAACTTTTATAGTTTTTATTTTCTAATATATGTATTTAATTGGAGAATTTTTGAATAATCGAAATTTCGTAAAATTGAATTGTAAACAAATGAATTTAAAAATTCTTAAAGAACTTTTTCGAAAATTATTAAAAATAATTGATTTAAAGAAGAATTTTAGTTAAAAATTCTATAGAATAATAATTGATTTGATGAAAATAATTTTGAAGAACAATATTTTTATAATATAAAATAATGATTTTATCACAACTCGGTCATCTTTAATTATTATAAGTTGTTGAATTTGAAATGTTTGTAAATATTAATTCCTATGAAAAATTAATAATAAAATATTTATTTTAAATAAAGCTATTAATGTTTTCGAATAATTTTACAATTAAAGAAATTCGTAAATAAATGTAATAGAACATTTTTTTGAGTTTCGAGATATTTTAAGATTGAATTAGAATATTCGTTAGGGTTAGGGAAAAATTCAAAGCATTAAATTTTAAACTTACTTTTCTTTTAGAATAAGAAAGAATTATTGATTTAAAGTATTTTCTGTAGAGAAGAAACTTGTAAAATTGTTGCAAATTAAAAAATCCCCACCTGAGTTGCAACATTTCCACCACTGAAGCGCTAGTGTCGCTAAAACTAATTACAATCTTTTCCCATTATTTCGACACATATTTTCGTATTTAATATCATAAAAAAATTTTAATTTATTAAATTTTTATGCAGTCAATAGAGGACTTAATTTAATTTTGAAAAAAAATTGCCAATATAGGTTTGCTTTATCGAGGCATTGCAATTATGATTGTCAGTGTTCACGAGACGCTAACTTCAGACCCGTGTGTGACAGCAGTGGGATGAAAACATTCTATAGTCCCTGTCATGCTGGCTGCACTCAATCTAATTACATGAATGGTGAAAAAATATACAGTGGATGCAAGTGCCTTTTGTCGGCTGGATTAATAGACCCGAGTGCACGGGATGGCTCTTGCGGAAACGAGGAATGTCAATTTGGTTGGCTTATTTTTGAGGTAATTTTCATAGATTTAGTCATTTATTTTGAATAAAATAAATAGAAAAATAAAATAATTAAATTAAATGATTTACTTTCAAAGAATTTCCAGATTTTTATTTTCAACACAGTTTTTCTAAGGTTTTTCTAATTTTTTAGAAATTTTCTAGTTTTTCTAATTTTTAAAAAAATTTAAAGATATTTTTTATTATTATATTATATTATTTATTCTTTCAACAGGCTGTTACAGTAATAGCGTATTCTCTCCTGGCGTCAATCATCATAGGCGACTTGCTCATCAACTTGAGATCCGTTTACGTTCAAGATAAAGCACTCTCAATAGGCTTTTGGCTAACTTTAGTCGCAGCTTTCGTTCACATACCGGGAAAATTAATTTATCAAAAGATTGCCGACTCTGCTTGTATTTACTGGGGAACTGCAGAGTTTGGTATTTGTCGCTTGCATTCGAGAAATCTTGGCAATTACCTATGTTACGTGACGATTTTATTCTTGGCCATAAGCCTCTTATTTAAGTCTCTTGTTTGGTGGTTTTGTCGTAATTTGAATCTTTACGATACGCTGATTGAGGAAGAGGAGCAGGGCAGAGAATTGCAGGATATCACCCAATCACAAAGGGAACCGTTACTGATTGAAGAGGTTCCGCCAACACCACCTGAAATTGAAGGTTAGTGGAATTTATCTTGAATCGAAACTTCCCCACCTGAGTTGCAACATTCTCACCGTTGAAGCGCTAGTGTCACTAAAACTACACTACACAACTATTTCCTATCATTTTTATTCATTCAGACTTCGTGCTCGATAATGAATTTAAAAAAATAGCTTTAAGATGAAGAATTAAATTAGACGACTCAATTTTTTCATCATTTCTAAATTGCAGAAGTAGCAGGTCCTAGTCAAGTAGAACAAAGAAGAACGGTTCCGGCCGGCGCTGTTCAGGTGTTACCAAAGAAGATCGACGACGATCATCAGAAGAACAACGGTCCCTTGAAATACGGACCCCTAGGACCAGGAGATCGTAGAACCACTTCACAATTTCCAAAAGCAGAAAAGAATCAAAAATCAAAAGAACAAAGTCCAGAAGTCAACTATGACACTGATAACGAACTAGAGACATCAAGTGACGACGGTAGTGTACCTCTAAAGAAAGCAAGTCCCAAAGTTTCCTACCAACTCCTCGAGCATGATTCCGATCACGATGTCAACGAAACACCTCCTAGAATAGAATCTGTCCCTCCTCCTAAACCAGAAGCAGTTGTTCCTATTTTGAAATCACCACTTGGAGCCGTTCCACGTGTATTTCCAAATCCTGATCACTACGAGGATCCGAGAATCTTCAGAGCCACAAGTCCAATTGAACGACCATGGAGAAAAACGGGCGACTTTAACGAAATTGGAATTCCGATCGTCGAGCCTAAGATAGAAACTGCGAGGGATTTGAGATCATCAAGAGAGGTTCTTGAGGAGAGGATGCTCTCTCCACAATATCAGCAGAAAGCTAGTCAAGATCGATTGGACACAGTGAAGACATTGTTCAGATCACTCGAAGATGGAAATTACAAATCACAACCAGACGTCACGGTAAATGGGGCACCAATTTCGATAAGACCACCTTCTGGTGGTCAGGATTCTTCCGGTTTTGGAAGTTTGCCCGATGTCCGTGACAGAACAACTCCCCAATTACAGGAGACAATTTCCAGTTCTAGGGACAATATTTCGAGCAAAAATTTAAAAGTACAACCATTCGCATGTACGGATTTATAAAAATATGATCAAAAGTGATATCTCTCTGTGAGAAGGAAAAAAGAACAGAAAGTAAACAGACTTTTAATGATAAATTTAGATTCCCTTCCGAGTGTATATTTCTGATGAGAAATAAATTCGATCAATAGAAGGTAAAACATAAAGAAATTTATGTTATTTTGTTAAGTCGCAACCTCTCGATGGTGTGGTTTACCGTTATCTTCAGGCTAATTTAATTAACTGTATAATTATCTTATTGATGGACATATTTTAAATAGAGTCACTAGGGTGAGAGATTTGAATGTATTGTTCACAAGCGTTTTTTCTTTCAATTACCATATTTCAGAAACTGTGTCCAAAGCATCTAAGTCTCTGGGATTCATTATGAGCATTAATTGATGGCACTCCAATGGGTTCTCCCATTTCATCACTTTTTTGCTGACATTGTAATGGATGATTTGGAATCTGATTGTCTTAACGTCTTAAAAACTCAATATAATTGTATTTTATTATTTTACTACAGATAAGTTGACGATACGATCATTTGCATTCACAGAAACCATATTGACTTGGTCATTAATACTTTTAATTCTTACAATAATAATTTACAATTCACTTACGAACTACAACTTGATAATCAAATTAATTTTTCAGATGTCACTTTAAATGTTATGAACAATAAGATGTTACATTATTGGTATCAGCAGTCAACCTCTTTCGATAGACTTATCAATTACTTCTAAAGTATAAGCAAATTCCTAAAATTTATTGACTATTCATCATTTAACAATTTCAATTTTGCTAATTTGTTCTATTCCGATTGCTAATAAAAATCTTAAATCAATTGTAAAACTGGGAAAAAACTAAATTAAGAAATGTCAAGAAACGAATGATGTTTACAAATTCAATTGTAAAGTTGCCTTGCAAATTATATTGGTCAGAGGAAACGCTCATTGAACACACGTATTAATGAACATAAAAACGATAAATCTGTGGTACGTGCACATCAACTAAATTTCAAACATGACATTATTTCAAACATTATTTTAAATACTCAGGTATTATTATCAGTTTGTGTTTATTAATTTTATGTGTATAACTGTTATATATTTATTAATTTTGTGTTTTGTTAAATAAATTATCCTGAATAAGATGGTAAACCACACCATCGAAACATCTCGCAACTTGACAAAATAGCATAAATTTGTTTTTTATGTTTTTTATTTCATAAAATTAAAACCATTGATCGAATTTATTTCACATCAAAGTAAATAGACTTTTTTTACCAAATGTTTTGTTTCAACTTTACCATTTATGGTACTAGATGACATATTTAAAATATCATTCGTATTAAAGATAGAAAAATTAATAGAAAAAAGTCACTCCGGGTATTTTGTTATAAATACTTAATACAATTATGAAAGAATGTAATATATATTTATAGGATATAATTTTTTTTAGAAATGGATAAGGAGAGATACATTTTTTACAACCAAAGAAATTTACTCTCCGTACCTTACGTTTCGTTAACGTAGAATCTTAACGAATTTTCGTCTACAACACCACAAGTCAAATATTTAATAATGTATAAAGTATATTTACGAAAATATTTTTTAATGCTGCCAGATTTTTTTATTTTAATTGTTATTCCCTTGAATTATGTAATAATTCTGCTGTGAAAAATAAATAATTCACCATTTAAAATAAGCAACATTTTTTATTTAAAATCATCTTCAACAATCTCCCTACAATTTTTTTCATTTACTTGTTTCAATAGATAAATAAAAGATATAATTTTAACAGATCTTGCCGGTAAAAGGAATTTTTACATCTAATTTAAGAGAAGTATGGAATAAATAAAAAAAATTTAATAATTTAATATTAATTTGTTCTTAAGAAAACTTTAGTTTCGTAGGTATATATATGTACCGTGATAAGTAATTTCGAAATTAATTAAGCAGTTCTTTATGACCTAAGTGAATTTTGTTCAGTTGTCTTTATTGTTCCTTCAGCTTGTTCTTCATTTACGTCTTTTAATTCAACCTCTTCGTCGAATATTTTTACATTTTTCACAAAGTACCACACTGCTACATCACAGATTATTCCGACTGCTACAAAAGCTGTGAAAAATAAAGCAAACTTGAAATTTTGTAAACCTTATAAATTTTTATTAAAATATTTGATTTTCTACACTTACCAGCAGCTGTAAAATTCATTAAATATCTTAATTGTTCTCCATTATAAAGCCAGCAGTTCCCGGATCCATTGCACGTTTTACCCCACACGAGACATGTTTTATCTTTAAATTAAAATATTTATTCTAATTAATAAATTTAATTCTATTTCAAAATAAATTTAGTGAATTTGGTTTAATTAATCTAAAAGTTAATCAAGATCGTCATTAAACATTTGATTAAGGAAGTCGTTAAGAAGTTGATCAAGAACAACATTATAAAGTTGATCAAAAATATTATGAAACAAGTTGATAAAGAAGAAACAAGGTGAAAAGATTTACCTAAAATGTAACCAAAAAAAATGGGAGATGGTATGAAGGCGAAAAGACTCATAATCATCAGTCCAAAGCCCATAGACACAGTTTTGTCCTTCTCCTCGACACATCTCACGGAAACAAGAAAGTTAGACGCTCTTCCTGTGGCGCCGCTAAACTTTAGCAAACAAACAACTGCGAGGAAAATGTAGAACTTCTCTTGACAATCCACTGGACAAGAGCCTGATACAGCAAAGCCGGAATATTCCTCTTTAATTTTCATTTGTAAAGGATCTTCCGTTAATATTGAAGTACTGCTGAGTAAAAGATTTGTCATCATTTCAGAGTTCCTCGACATTGCACAAGAACAATTTGTGTAAAATTTTGTTCCATTTTCATCTAGCTGAAAAAAATAAGAAACCAAAAATTTATTGTACTAATTGTTGTCAGCTTATGAAAATTTTGGCTAAAGTGATGATAACATTTATTAGGAAATATAACATTGACAAACTAAGAATTATTCAATAACGACCACTTATCCCCATAAGGCCTTTTGATTTGTTGTGGGTACGAGTTATTTTAACTATTTTGAAAAAGAATTAAAAATGATAAAAATACTGTTAAATTACTCGAAGACCGTGAATAGAATGTAACCATTAAATATTGTTGACATATAAAGTATTTAGATCACTATAACTGCGGTCACAATAGGAACTCATTTAGATTAATTAGCCTGATGCAATAATTACGAACGAGTACAAAAGATTGTAAGAAGTCGTAGTAGAGAGAGATGCTCTTGTCGAGCCGGTAATTTCAATCGCAAAGAAATGTTTCCAGCTCACAGATGAATGTTTTATGAGTACTTCTGATTTAACGGATTGTGGTTCCCTAAAATTTTCGAAAAACTGATTCTCTTATCCGGATATTTTCGATATCCTACGTGTATCCAACGTCCTAAAGATATTCGGAAATTATAAATGAATTTTTGAAAAACCATCTAATTTTCAGAATGTCAATGTTACCCATTAAATGACAATGCAAGAAAAAATTTTGTTAACAGAAAATAAAATAGTAAAGAACCAAATGGAATTTAAAACTTGCAACAATATTGATGATATATTCCTTCAACATTGATACAGTCAGAAAGTGACAATGTTGCTGCAAGCTTCAGGGCTGTGAGCGAGGCTGTGAGTGGAAAAAAAATTAATCATACAAACCTTAACAGAAGTGCATCCGGCATGACAGGCGGAAATGAAAGTATTCCCAGCTGTAGTACAAACGGGATTAAAAGTGACATAGTCGCAATTACAATCTTCATTGCATGCTAGAGTTGGTTTCAAGGAACCATTAGACTGGCGAGCAACTCGAGTATCATTCGCCGGACATCCTAGAAAAGCGTAAAATATCATTCCCATAACGGAAATCACTCCAATCATAACATTCCATGCAGCCAGATATCTTGCCCTTGGCTTATAGATCGTAATCATTAAACCAGAAAGAAGAATTCCAAAGGCACTAAATACTAGACCAACCGTTCCGGTAATTAGTGACGAGACTGATGCTGATTGATTGTACTGAGTTTCTATATATTTTGGCATAAATATCCAGTAGGGCATATAGCCCATACAGTAAAATACAGAGGCAAAATTGTTGCACATGTATGATTTATTTTTCCAGAGACGTTTAAATGTTTCTATCATATCAGTGAAGGATGGTAATTCTGATTCTTCGTTGTCTTTCAGACTTGAGGATGATTTATTTTTTTGGGAGGCAAGAGCCCTTCTAGCCGCAGCCCGGGGTAGTGATTTAGGAAAAAGTGCGACTATACTTGCAAAAAGGGAAAGTAGAATTGCCAGGATTATCCAACCGAGCCACCATGCACCGAGCCATCTGGAAAAAAAGATTATCAGAGATTAGGAAATGTGCTAATTTCTATTTGGGTGTTATGGGATTTGATTTTTGACAACTCGGAATGGTTCAATATCCCTTAGGTAAGTGTTTATCTAAAAATAGGTGGAGTTGCACTTCAAGAGGTCAATCCACTTTAGCTGATGATAAAGACTCTGAAATAACCAAACGGTATGGCAACTAATGGCATCTAAACTTCCAGAGGTCTAGATATACTCTTTAGGTTTCGGAATCTGTTCCATATCTAGGTGACGTTTAGGACATTTAAAGAACCTCTAGACACCTAGATTTCTAAACATTTAGACTTCTAGACTTGCACGTCTAGACATCTAGAATTCTAGGCATTTACATTGCAGAATTACTCCGTTGTAGCAATATTCCAAAAATGTTAGGCCATTATAAATCACGTTTGCTGTATGTTCATAAGACTTTTGCAATAATCAGGGTTGCCACAAATATTTAATTTTATTTTTCCCTGTTTTCCAGACAAGATTTTCAATTTTTCCCCTGGCCCTAAAAAATATTCTGATTCACTCTAAAAATCATTAGATACTCAAAAAAATGTTCTATTACATTTATTTACAAATTTCATTAATTGTAAAATTATTTAAAAACATCAATAAAATCTTTTTTAAATAAATATTTAATCATTATTATTTTTCCATAGGAATCAAAATTCTTCAAAACATTCAAATTCTACAATTTATAAGAATATTATTACAAAACATAAAGAAGGCGTTCACTCCGAGTCTTCGACTCGGAGTGATCGCCTTCTTCATGTTTTGTTATAGTTTTTAAATTACGATGAAATTTTTCAAAAAATATTTAATTATTTACAAAAATCCTAATAAAATCCTTCGCGAGAATTCAATTATTATTAAAAAATAGTAAAATTTCTCAAAAAAATTTAATTATTTGACAAAATTGTAATAAAATTCGTTACGATAATTCAATTATTTTCATAAATAATAAATGGATTATTCGGTAATTCATTTTTAAATCATTTTTTATTAGAAAATTCTAGAAGAATTCAATTATTTAAATTAAAAAATAAATAATTTATTAAATAATTGAATGTTTGTTAAAATTGAATTCTCATAAAAAATTTTATTAACAAATTTTTAAATAAAATTGAATTCTTTTGTCAAATTTTAATAAAATTTTTAAGAATAATTACATTTTTCGAGAAATTTAATTAAAATATTGTATCAAAAAAAATTCTAATCCTGCGATGAGTTTTATTATTTATGGAAATAATTAAAATTTTCCCAAAAATGTTATTAAAAATTTTTCTAAAATAATTGAATTTCGCAGAAGAATTTTATTATTTATAAAGATAATTGAAATTTTGACGAGAATTTTTTAAAAAATTTTGAACACAATTGAATTTCTGAGAAGAATTTTATTGCTTTTAAAAATAATTTAATTCTTGAAAAGAATTTTATTCAAGTTTATAAAAATAACGAAAGTTCTGTGAAGAATTTTGTTATTTATATAAATAAATGAATTCTTGCAAAGAATTTTATTCAAATTTATAGAAATAATTGAATTTCGGTAAAAACTGTTATTATTTATTTATAATAATTGAATTTTTGCAACGAATCTTATTCAAGTTTATAAAAATAATTGAATTTTTTAAAAGAACTTTGTTAACTTTTTTTTCAATAATTAAATTTTTGTGACGAATTTTATGAAAATTATTTTTAAATAATTGATATTTTTCGAAAAATGTTACTAAATTTTGTATATTAAATAATTGAACTCATGTAAAAATATTATTATTTATAAAAATAATTGAATATCAAAGAAGAATTTTATTAATTATAAAGATAATTGAAATTTTGACGATGATAGTTTAAAAATTTTTAAACATAATTAAATTTTTGAAAAGAATTTTATAATTTTTGCAAATAGTTGAATTCCTGTGAAAAATTCTAATATTTTTGTAAATAATTGAATTCTTTTAATGAATTTTAAACAAAGCATTTTTTTGAAATAATTAAATTTTTCAAGAAATTGAAATTAAATTTTTATGAATAATTACAATTTTTAAGCAATTCCTGTGAAATTGTATCAAAAATAATTGAAATCCAGCGATGAATTTAATTATTTATGAATCATAATTGAATTCTTGCGAACTATTTTATTAGAATTTTTTAAATAATTGAATTTCCAAAAAGAAATTTATTACTTTTAAAAATAATTCAATTCTTGTGATGAATATTGTTATTTATGAAAATAATTGAATTTTGCAAAGAGTTTTATAAAACTCTTTTTAAATAATTGATATTTTTCGAAAAATTTTGTGAAATTTTTTATATTAAATAATTGAATTCTTGTAAAAATTTTATTTTTTATGAAAATAATTGAATTATTTCGAAGAAATTTATTAAAAATTTTATAAATTATTTAATTTCTGTGAAATTTAGCCAAGGACTTGTATTAAAATTTTTAAAAATAATTGAGTTTCGAAGAAGAATTTTATTATTTATAAAGATAATTGAAATTTTGACGATGATTTTTTAAAAATTTTTGAACATAATTGAATTTCTGAAAAGAATTTTATTACTTTTGAAAGTAATTTAATTCTTCCAACGAATTTCATTCAAGTTTATAAAAATAATTTAATTTCTGTGAAGAATTTTATTATAATTATACAAATAATTGAATTTTTGCAACGAATTTTATTCAAGTTTATAAAAATAATTTAATTTCGGTAAAGAATTTTATTATTTCTAAAAACAATTGAATTCTTGAAAAGAACTTTGTTAAAATTTTTTTTAAATTCTATGAAAATTTTATTAATTTTAAAAATAATTGAATTATTTCCAAGAAATTTTTTTTTTAAATTTTGTAAATAATTGAATTCCTCTGAAATTTTGCCAAGAATTTTGGGACGCATGATTATTCCCCAAATGTCATTTTTCCGAAATGTCATTTTACCGAACTGCACTTTTGCGAATAGTCATTTTTGCGAAAAGACAATTTTGCGAAATGTCACTTTTGCGAATTGTCATTTTTGCGAAAAGCTATTTTTGCGAATGGCCATTTTTACGAATTGTCAATTTTCCGAAAAGTCATTTTTGCGAATCGCCATTTTTACGATTTGTCAATTTTTCGAAAACTCATTTTTGCGAATTGTCATTTTTACGAAAAGACATTTTTGTAAAATGTCATTTTTGCGAAAAGCCATTTTTGCGAAAACTCATTTTTACGAATTGCCATTTTTGCGAATTGTCATTTTTAAGAAATGTCATTTTTGCGAATTGTCACTTTTGCGAATCGCCATTTTTACGAATCGCCATTTTTACGAATTGTCATTTTTGCGAATAGTCATTTTTGCGAAAAGTCATTTTTACGAATTGTCATTTTTGCAAAAAGATATTTTTGAGAATTGTCATTATTGCGAAATGACATTTTTACGAATTGTCAATTTTCCGAAAAGTCATTTTTGTGAATCGCCATTTTTACGAATTGTCAATTTTCCGAAAAGTCATTTTTGCGAATTGTCATTTTTACGAAAAATACAATAGTGAATTTATAGACCTACAAGTTTTCTATTGTATTTTTCGCAAAAATGACTTTTCGGAAACTTGACAATTCGTAAAAATGTCGATTCGCAAAAATGACATTTCGTAAAAATGGCAATTCGTAAAAATGGCGATTCGCAAAAGTGACAATTCGCAAAAATGACATTTCTCAAAAATGACAATTCGCAAAAATGTCAATTCGCAAAAATGACTTTTCGCAAAAATGACTTTTCGCAAAAATGACTTTTCAGAAAAATGGCTTTTCGCAAAAATGACATTTCACAAAAATGTATTTTCGTAAAAATGACAATTCGTAAAAATGGCGATTCGCAAAAATGACTTTTCGGAAAATTGACAATTCGTAAAAATGGCGATTCTAAAAAATGACAATTCGCAAAAATAGCTTGTCGAAAAAATGACAATTCGCAAAAGTGACATTTCGCAAAATTGGCTTTTCGCAAAAATGAGTATTCGCAAAAGTGCAGTTCGGTAAAATGACATTTGGGGAATAATCATGCGCCCCAAGAATTTTATTAAAGTTTTTAAAAGTAATTAAAGTCGGAAGAAGAATTATATTATTTGTAAAAACAATTCAAATTTTAATTAGTAACTTTTCCAAAAATCAAATTTTTTTTAGTATTTTTAACTAAAATCCTCTTATCAATCCAGTATTTATGAAAATTGTAAAAATTATTCATTAAATAATTTATAAATCATAATTTTAGTATAGTTCTTGTAAAATTAAGTTATTTAAAAATAAATTATTGTCAGAAATAGAAAAAATGGAAGGTTTTGTATTGAAATTCGTGGTAATTGCATAGTTTACGAGGCAAACAAAAAAACATCAAAATTCAGTTTTCTTATGAATTTTAAAAATTCAATTTTTTCCAATTCCCACTTTTACTAAAAATCCCTGAATTGCCTGACCTGTGGCAACCCTGAATATTGTTTTTGAATATTGGAATTTTTGTGAAAAGCAAATTGTGTTCCTATGTCTGAAGTCATCAAGTTTTAGAAGACCTTTCGCAAACTTCTTGTTGAGTTTTAGCACCAACAGACTCTTTCTACTTTGGCAGCATTTCTACAATTCGTTTTGGATCCATCATTGCTGTCTAGAACTTTATTCGGACCCAATGATGATTTTTCGTACCTAACTGACCCAGTGTCTTATGGTACTCCCAAAATTAGTTTTGTTTGGATCCTTAAATTCCTTAGCACTTCTAAAAATACCTGACTATCCAGACAAATGCTGCAACTAAATACTTCGAAGTTTGCAAGTCAATCTTTAATAAATTTTGAGAAAAATTTCTGTGCTATGTGGGAAAGTAATTAATTTAATTACTTTTCACTCAACCACATAATGATAGTTAAATTTTTTTCAGTCTACATATTGATCCACTAACTGCTTATTTAGTACATTACTAGTGAACCATTTCAGTCTGTCGTCAATTTGCAATAAATGGCTCTTAAACGAATTTCGCCAGGAATTTTAGTTATTTATCATTTTTCCTAATGTATAAGAAATATAAAACTGATTTGTTAACATCCAAAGATAAAAATGTCTATAAATATTCTATATGTAATCAGAAACAATTATTCTTATCAAAAAGACAATATTATAATCTTGCACTCAAATCCGTTGATTTTACGATTTCTATCAATGATCTTCTCTCTTCATGATATTTTTATATAGGTAGGAAAAAACATGTTCCTTAAAATACAGGAACAATCCAATTAACACAGTTTCGATAAAACCAACAATCCTCCAATTGTACCAATAAAAATATTTAACTATTACAAGTAACTTTATGCTATGTCATTTTTCTCTCGAAGCCAAAATAAAATTATGAATAATTCCAGAAAGATTTGAAAAAAATAAATTTTTCAATTTGAAATTAAATGAAATTTGAGAAATGAAAAATTTAAGTTTGTTCGAATTACCTTGGATCTTGAGTGGTAATTGTCGGTGTTAAAGTTGGACTGATGTAAAATCCGAGTGAAAATGATGCTAGGCCGTAACCAATCGCAGGACCCAGCATCCGTATAAAAAAAGAGAAACTAATAAGTGCTGGAGTTTTTGATTTTTGAATATTGTCATCCATGTAGGAAACGCCTAATGTATAATACAGTGAACCACCAACTCCTGATATGGCTTGTGCTATAAAGAGAATAATCTGCGGCGTGAAATTCCCATCTTCCTCAGTACAATCAGCATCTCTTTCCTTGTCCTGGCAGAGGAATTTTTTTTCCTTCATTAACAGTCTGATATTGTCTGTTAAATTTTCCCGAGCTACGCCATATTCTTCAGTCAACATCAATGCATCCTTTCCTGGACCATAGAGAAAATGTGGAAGCATCGTCAAACAACAAAATAAAACCACCTGAAAAGTAAAAAACTTGTTTTTGAAAACAGTTTTGAAAAATGTAGTATTAATATTTTTATCATTTTATCATTTTATCTACTAAAACCTACTAATTACTACTTTTTTCAAGTTATGCTACTATTTGGGTACTTTCTTAGATTTCAGTCACTAAAAGATATTTCTGTTTTTTTTAGAATTTCCACTACTTTAAATTCGCTGATAATAGAAATAAAAAAATTTTGCTCAAAAATTATAATCAAATTCTTTAAAAAGATACAATTTTGTTTCAAAAAATATTCGAAATTCAATTATTTTCCATATCTAGTATTTTAATCAAATTTCGCAAAAGAATTCAAGTTTAAAAAAAAAAATGATAAAATTAATCCAAAATTCAATTAATTTCATAAATAATAAAATTTTCACGAGAATTCAATGAATTTATAAAAGCATTTAACAAAAATTTTCGAAAAAATCAAATATTAAACAAAATTTTTATACAATTCTTCAAAATAATTCAATTAATTTCACTAATAATAACATTTTTTATGGAAATTCAATTATTTAAAAACATTTTTGATAAAATCCTAAACAAGAATTCAATAATTTTCATAAATGATGAAACTCAAGAATTTCAATTATTTAAAATAAAATTTTTATAATATTTATTATAGATATTCCGAAAAAATTAATTATTTAAAGCAATGTTCATAAAATCCTTATGAAGAATTCAATTATTTTCAAAAATAACAAAATTTTTCAAACAAATTCAATTATGTTCAAAAATTAAAAAAAAAATTTTGCCAAAATTTCAATTATCTATAGGTATAAATAACAAAATTCTTCTTTGAAATAAAATTACTTTTAAAACTTTTAATTAAATTAATAACATTGTCAAAATTTCAATTATTTTCAAACATTTTCCTGAATTAAATGATTTTCAATATCCAATATTTTAATAAAATTTTTAATTATTTTCATAAATAAAAACATTTTTTAAAGGGATATTCAATTATTTTTATAAATAATAAAATTCTTTTTAGAAATTTATCTAATTATTTTAATAAATAATAAAACTCAATGTAGAATTTCAATTATTATTTTTAATACATTTTTAAATTGAATTCCTCGAAAAATGTAATTATTTTTCAAAATTTTATTAAAATAAAAGAATTCAATTATTTAAAAATTTGTTGACAAAATTCTTTATGAGAATTCAATTACAAGAAACAGTAAATTATTCAATAAATTATTTATTTTATTTTTATATAAACATACTAAAAAAATTGAATTTTGGAGAAATTATAAATAATTCCAGAAATCCAATTATTTAAAAAAATGTTAATAAAATTTTTTATAGGGATACAATTATTTTCATAAATAATAAAATTCATCGCTGGATTTCAATTATTTTTAATACAATTTCACGGGAATTGCTCAAAAATTGTAATTATGAATAAAAATTAAATTTCGATGCTTCGATAAAAATTAATTATTTAAAAAAATGTGCTTTTTAAATTCTTTGAAAAAATTCAATTATTTACAAAAATATTTGAAAATTCAATTATTTTGACTTTTTGAGGCAATTTAATAAAATTCTTTGAAAAATTCAATTATTTTAATAAATAACAATATTCATCACAAGAATTCAATTATTTTTAAATTAATAAATTTCTTCTTGGAAATTCAATTATTTTAAAAAAATTCTAATATAAAGGTTCGCAAGAATTCAATTATTTTCATAAATAATAAAATTCATCGCTGGATTTAATTTATTTTTAATATAATTTCACAGGAATTGCTGAAAAATTGTAATTATTAATAAAAATTAAATTTCAATTCCTCGAAAAAATCAATTATTCAAAAAAAAATGTTCTTTTTAAATTCTTTGGAAAAATTAAATTATTTACAAAAATATGAGAATTCTCAACAGGAATTCAATTATTTTCAAATATTTTAATAAACTTGTTCGAAAGAAATCAATATTTTTAAATACAATTCTAATTAATTTTTTTTTTTTTGAAACAATTCAATTATTCTTTGAGATTTTAATAAAATTCTTCCCAAGAATTCAATTATTTACATTAATAATGCTATGAAAGAATTCAATTATTTCGATACATAACAAAATTATTTCCGAAAATTCAATTATTTTAAGGGATTTTAATGAAATTCTTTGCAAAATTCAATTATTTTCATAAATAACAATATTCATCTCAAGAATTCAATTATTTTAAAATTTTAAAATTCAAATATTTTATAAATATATTTATAAAATATTTTTAAAATTATTGTCTCAAATTTTAATAGAATTCCTTGTGAAATTTAATTATTTTGAAAAACTTTTCGCAATTCAATAATTTTCAATATCTACTATTTTCATAAAATTTCCAAACAGAATTCAATTATTTAAAAAATTTTTTGTAAAAATCTTTGTAAAAATTCATTCCTTTTCATGAATAATAAAAATTTCTCAGGAATTCAATTATTTAAATTAGAATTTGCATAAAATTAGTCAAAAGAAAAGAATTATTTAAAAATTTTTATAAAATTCTTCGCAAGAATTAAATTATTTTTATAAATATTTAAATTCTTTTATGAATAATAAAATTTGTTGCAGAAATTCAATTTATTAGCAGGATAAGATAGAAGTAAATATTTTTGATGAAAATTAGGAAAAAGTCAGGAAATAAAATATAGAATTGAATTCTTGTCAGTTTTGTGAAGTGTCTATAACGAATTTTTTTGGTCATCAAGTTTAATTTTTCGATAGGTACTTTTTTACTCCTTTTTTTTATTTTGAAAGCTACTTTTTGCTACTTTTTAAAACTTAATTATCTAATGCAAAGTCTGCATTACATTTACCTAAATAATATTTATTATTAATAATTAATCATTAATAATAATTATAATAAGAATTCTGAAAATTAAAAGAAACGAAAACTTTTCTTTTCATTTGTCTTCTCTTTTTCTTCTTTTAAATTCTATATTAAAAGGCAAAAAAAAAATGGATTAAAAAAATGCAAGATTTTAAAATGCTCCTTGTAACACTTTGATTATAGTTTCAAAGATATTTACAGAAGCTTATCTTGTCTAGCAATAATCTGATTATGTCTCCTGATGATTAAGATTTTTTATCGTCTTTCCATATTTGTAATTAATAATAGGTGAAAAGAGGAAAATTTATTTATTGGTAAATGCAATGATAATATTTCTTGTTTACAAATTGTGCAAATGTCTGGGTTAAATTTAAAATTAGTGCCTTAAAAGATAATTATCAATAATAATTAAATCTTCTTTAACAATAAATTTTCAGTTTCTAAAAAGAAATTTTTTTCTTCCATAAATTTGAATTTCCATCAATTTTTCCATTTCAAATTGACAAATTAATCAATTTGTCAAAATTCAAAGTTTTTAATTCAATTTTAATTGGGAAATTGAAAAAAAAATTTTTCGAAAATTAATTAAATTTAGAAAAATAAAAAAAAATAATACCACATAACGAGTATTGCATGTTAGTGAATGAACATGGATGCGATTTCAGTTGCTCGTAATTTAATTAAGCGTCGGTGTATTTGCAAGTTGACTATCGTATGGATGGCTTTCGTCATTCCAAGCCGCAAACAAATATGCTTTCATTCATACCTTTCAGCTTACAATGTATTGACTTATTTTTTTTTGAATAGTGCATATAGTGAGAATACTCGGAAAATAAAATACCATTTTTTTCCATTTGACATTAATTGAATAATTATGATATTCCATGTCAGAGAGAAATTAAATATAGTACCATAAATAAAGTAGAGATTACCAAATTGCTCCGAAAAATAAAATCGAGTCGAAATATTTTTTCTAAACTTAAAAAAAATATTTATTACTCTTTGTTTGTCTTTTAATACTTAAACGGTAGAATTCAATATTTCTCAATTGTTATTCCAGATGAGAAATTCCATGTAAACTCATTCAATAAAAAAAAAATTAGATTTTAAGGGACATTGTTTTATTTAATCAATTTTAATTTTTATATGGTAAATTCTAAAGCATTTTTTGTCTATTTTTCAGTTCTGAAAATATTTTATAAAAAAAGAATCAGTTAACCCTTCTTATTTCGAAAATAAACTTTATTTTTCAATATTTAGGGAAACTACATCTTTTTTTATTTTTTTATCATTTTTATTGGAAAATGATATTGTTTGCAGTAAATTATTGTATAATGTTAAAAACTGGGAACAACAATGGATTTTCAATAAAATAAACAAATAATTTTTAAAAACTAGGATTTTTTTTATTTTCTTGAAAACTCATTGTTGTTTCATTTTTATAAAAATTACATAATTTACTGGGAAAAATCTCAGCTTTCCAATAAAAAAAATTTAGAAGAGGTATAGTTTTTGTGAAAATTGAAAAAAAAATTTTATTTTTCAAAAAAGAGGGGTTCAAATATTTGTTTTTTTTTGAGAAAAAGAGTTTTTGAATTGAAAAGTAAAAAGAAATACTAAATTTTCATATTTTTCTATATTTTTTAATTTATTATAAAAAAAAATTTCTTTCAATGACTATATAAATAATAATTATTTTTTTTCTAACAGAGGATACAAAAGAAAATAAATAGAAAGAATATAATAATAATAATAATTATTATTATTATTATTATTATTATTATTATTATTATTATTATTATTATTATTTTTTTTTTTATTAAATTATTATTTTTTTTGGAACATTTTTTTCAATTTATCTAAATATAATATAAAGACCTTCTTAAATTAAAAAAAATTGAAACAAAACAGAATAAATTATTTTAAACTACTTTTTATTTTATTTATCTTTCTAAATATAACAGAGAATATTGTTGAAATATTTCTGTAATATGTACTGTTACATGGCAAGTTTATGACATTATTACATCATAATTTTAATAAATTATCTGCTTAAAAAAATTAAATATAAAAATGATTGAAATTAGTTTTTCTCAAGTTTCCGATATTTGAAACTGGAGTTAAAATTTAATTTGAAATTCAATTTAAATTTCCATTTGAAATTTAATTTGAAATTCAATTTAAAATTCAATTTTAAATTCAATTTAAGATTCAATTTGAAATTCTAAAAATGAAAGCATCCTTCTTGTTTCTTCTGATAATATTTTTCTTGTTTAAGTAAAAATCGGTAATTAAAATTTTTCCTACCGATAAAATTCCAAAGGCAATCCATCTCGGTCTGTGTCCTTTTCCCGCATAATATGACAACACAACTGTCACAAAAAGTTGCGAAATATCATTTCCCACAGTGATGATACCTAAACGAAAAGTATACTTTGTCTCAAAAAAGAGATTATAACACTCTTAAAAATTTTTCCTTTTCAAAAGGGGGAAAAATAATAGGAATACAATGAAAAAAGTAAGAAGAAGAAACAGAAAAAACAACGAAAAAAGAAAAAAAGAAGGAGAAAAAGAAAAAAGGAGGAAAAGAAACAAGAAAAGTAAGATAATAAAAAAAAACTGAAAAACGATGCAGAAAAAAAGAAGAAGAAAAAGAAAAAAGTAAGAGAAGAAAAAAAGGAGGAAGAGGAAAAAAAGAAAATAAATTTTTTATTTAATTTATTATTTTAAAAATTTTTTATTTTTATTTTATTTTTTTCCTTGAAAAGAAAAAAAATAAAATTCATTATTTTAAATATTTTTTTTTTTATTTCATTTTTTTCCTTGAAAAGAAAAAAAATAAACGAATAACGGTAAAAGAAGGTAAAAAAAGAGGAAAAGGACTAGAAAAAAGAAGAGAAGGAAAAGAATAAAAGAAAAAAGGTTAAAGTAGGTAAAAATGGAGGAAAAGAAAAAATAAAAGGGAAAAAAGGTGAAACAAAAAAGAAGAAAGAGAAATAAAGAAAAACAAAAAAGAGAAGAAAGAGGAAAAAAAGGAAAATTAGAAAAGAAAAGAAGAAAGCAAAAAAGAAAATGAAAAAAGAGAAAGAAGAAAGACGAAAAAAGAAAATAAAAAGAAAGGAAAGAATATAAGAAAATTAAGAGGAAGAAAGGGAAGAACAAAAAAGAAAAAAAGGAGAAAAGAAAATAAAATAGAAGAAAAAGAAAAATAGGAGAATATGAAAATAGAAAAAAAGAGAAAAATAGAGAAAAATAGAGAAAAACAGAGAAAAGAAAAGGGAAAACGAATAAGAAAGAAAGGGAAAGAAACGAGAAAAGAAAATAAAATAGAAAAAGAGAAAAAAAAGAAAAACTTTTTAAAACAAAACTTTTCTTAAATACAAAAATTTACCAGTTGTTTTCGATGGTATTTTAAATCTCTTCTCAATTGTTGTAATAGTACCATTAAAATATGCGAAACTAGCACCAAATATACATCCTAATACTCCATAAAGAAAAACGTATGCTTTTTTATTCGCAAATCTCTGCAAAAATGGTCCACGAATAAAACCAATTCCACAACTTGTTTCATCCGTTAATGGGAAATCTTTAAAAAACTCATCGAGTTCTTGTGATGGAGTTTTTATAATTTTCCCCCCTGCTGTTGAATCATTAAGAAGTTTTTCACTAGCAGGTCCATTTTTTTCACAAATTGCATTATTCGATCCCTTCGAATTCATTTTTTTTATCCCCCCCGCTTTCAAAAATTCCACTCTCTTTTTCTCCAACACTATACTTCTTTCTTCTATACTCTATATATATTTCCTTCTCTCCTTTATCACCTTAATTTAATTTCACGAATTCCTTAGTTCTTTTCTGGTTCAACATTTTCTTCAAATTCACAAAAATGTTCTTTCTCTAAATTGTACTTTTTTTCTCACACTTATTGTTGTACTTTAACGGAATCCATGATGAGAAAATAGTAGTTTGTAAAAAATTATTTTTTACACTTTCTCATAAATTTTTAAACTGAGTTTATAATTTTTTGTTCAATTTCATATTCATTTTGTATTTTGGGAGAAAGTAGTGAGAGGGAGGTTGATCAAAAAAAAGGGGGGGAGGGAGAAAAAAAATACAATGGTTTGTTGATGTTTATATGTGATGTTTGGATGATTAGAATGAGGAGGATGATGATGATGAAGATGATGATGATGATAAATTGAGGTTCTTTAGAAAATTAATTCGTGTCCGAAAACGTTTGATATTCTTTTCTAACTGAATTCAACTCTTGACTTTTGACAAGACGTATTCAGATGTGAGGTGATGTCCCCACTTTCGAATCATGAAGACACTCGAGAACTAGAAGAAATCCTCGACGGCAGTTTGACATCCACATCGAGATTACCCGCGCACCAACCTAATGCAACATTAATGATAAGAGAGATTAAATCAACATCTTCCGAAATTCAATTTAAAGAAATGTGATTTTTTATCATTATTATTATTATTATTATTTTTTTTTTTATTACAAATTTCATTTGCCTGATTTAAATTATGCTAATTTTTCTTCTTTTTATTTATAAAAAATATTAGAAAATTGTTAATTTAGTTAAAAAAATTATGATTAAGAAATAGGAAAATACCCATTTCTCAATTTTCATGAAGAAGAATTTGCATTATTTCTATTTCTTAATAACAATATTGTTTTAATAAAATCAAAGTTTTTTGAAAATAAAGAAAAAAAAAATGTTTGTAAATTCTATTTGTCAAAATTATAAATTTTAATTAAAAATAAAATTGAAAAATTTTAGAAGAAAAAGGTAAAGTTTTACTTAAGATAATGTTCTGTTAAATTTATTTACGAATAAATATTTAATTATTATTATTTTTCCGTGGGAATTAAGATTTTCAAAAAATTCAAATTCAAATGTTTTTAAATTCAATAATTTATAACGAATTATTAACATGAAGACATCGCTTACTCTATAAGACGAAGACTCACAGTAATCAATATCTTCATGTTTTGTAATAATTAAAAGTGACCGAGTAATAAAATTATTATTTTACATTATAAGAATATTGTTTTTGTAACTTCTTAAAAATTATTTCCATCATTTCAATTAAATTATATTATTTTCTAGAATGTTTAACTAAAATTCTTCTTTAAATCAAATATTTTTAATAATTTTTGAAAAAGTTCGTCAAGAATTTTCAAATTCATTTGTTAACAATTAAATTTTACAAAATTTTAATTATTAGTAAATTTTTCAGTTAAATATACATTAAAAAATGAAAAATTTAAATAATTTAAAAATATTTCGATTAAGCTTTTAGAAAAAAAAAATATTTTCAAAGAATTTTTAATAAAAAGTATGAAAAATTCAGATTTTTAAAGATTTTAATTTGAAACCTTTTCAAAATTCAATTATTTCTAAAAATTCACGCTACAAATATTAATATTCAATTATAATCTAAAATTTTAACTGAAATTAACTTTTAAATGAATTTTTATTAGAAAATACAACGAAAATTCAATTTATTATTTAAATATAAAAAATAATAATTTATTGAATAATTAAGGTTTTTTTAAAATTGAATTCTTATAGAGAATTTTAAAAACAAATTTTTAAATAATTGAATTCTTTCGACCAATTTCAATAAAAATTTTTGAGAATAATTACATTTTTCGAGGAATTCGATTAAAATTGTATTAGAAGTAATGGAAATTCTGAAATGAGTTTTATTATTTGTGAAAGTAATTGCATTATTGCGAAGAATTTTATAAAAAAAATTTCAAACAATTGATTTTTTTTCGAAAAAATTTATGCAAATTTAATTTTTAATCATTGAATTCCTGTGAAATTTTTATTATTTTAAAAAATAATTAAATATTCATGAGAAACTTTGTCAAAATTGTTATTAAATAATTTAATTCTTGTGGAAAATTTTATTAAAATAGTAGAATATTGAAAATCACTAAATTAAGAAAAATTTTTAAAAATAATTCAAATTTTGCCAGAATTTTATTAAAATTTTTGAAAATAATTGAATACTTGTGATGAATACTATTATTTATGAAAATTAAATTTTGCAATGAATTTTATTAAAATTCCTGGAAATAATTAAATTTTGTCGAAGAATTTTGCTATTCATTGATAAAGATAATTGAAATTTTGATGACAATTTTTTAAAAATTTTTTAAAAATAAATGAATTTTTGCGAAGAATTTTATTATTTTAAAAATAATTGAATTCTTGTGATGAATACTATTATTTATGAAAATAATTGAATTTTGCAATGAATTTTATAAAAATTCCAAAATGTATTTGAATTTTGACGAAGAATTTTGCTATTTACAAAGATAATTCAAATGTTGTCGAGAATTTTTTTTAAATATTTGAATTTCCGGAAAGAATTTTATAAAAAATTCCTGAATATAATGGAATTTCGACGAAGAATTTTGCTATTTACAATTGTATTATTATTATTAAAATTATATTATTTTCTAGAATGTTTAACTAAAATTCTTCTTTAAATAAAATATTTTAAATAATTTTTGAAAAAGTTCGTCAAGAATTTTCAAATTCATTTGTTAACAATTAAATTTTACAAAATTTCAATTATTCGTAAATTCTTCAGTTAAATATACATTAAAAAATGAAAAATTTAAATAATTTTAAAATATTTCGATTAAGCTTTTGGAAAAAAAATATTTTCAAAGAATTTTTAATAAAAAGTATGAAAAATTCAGATTTTTAAAGATTTTAATTTGAAACCTTTTCAAAATTCAATTATTTCTAAAAAATCACGCTATAAATATAAATATTCAATTATAATCTAAAATTTTAACTGAAATTAACTTTTAAATGAATTTTTATTAGAAAATACAACGAAAATTCAATTTATTATTTAAATATAAAAAATAATAATTTATTGAATAAATGAATTTTTCTCAAAATTGAATTTCTTATAAAGTATTATATGTATGTATTCTTATAAAAATTTTATTATTTATGAAAATAATTGAATCATTGCGAAGAAATTTATAAAAAATTTGTTAATTGAATTCCTGAAAAACTTTTATAATTTTTGAAAATAATTAAATGTTTGCGTAGAATTTTATCCTAATTTTTTATTAAATACTTGAATTCTTTTAGAAAATTTTATTAAAATATAGATATTGAAAATCATTGAATTGAGAATAAAAATTTTGAAAGTAATTGAAATTATTTATAAATTTTAATTAAAATTTCGACGAGAATTTTTTTAAAATTTTGGAGCATAATTGAATTTTTGCGAAGAATTTTATTATTTTTGAAAATAGTTGAATTTATGTAATTATTTGTAACTTCTCCAAAATTCAATTTTTTTAGTGTTTTTAACTAAATTTCTTCTACAAATCCATTATTTTTCATGATTAGTTAAATTTTTATTACAAAATTTAACTAATTTCAGAAGAATTTTAATTATTAAAATTTTTTCAAAAACATAAGTTCTTTAGAATTTCTAAAATAAAATTTATTCGAAACTGAAATTTTCTAAAATATTAAGTTGAAACCTTATTTTAGAGTTCATTTATTTATGAAAATTGAAAAAGCAACTCTTTTAAAATATGATTATTATAATAGTTATAATAGTATTAAAAATTCTAAACTATATTCTAATTTATATTTTATTTTTATGAGAAAAAAATTGTAATTATCGAATTGTTGCTATTTTTTAAATAAATTCAAAAAAAAATTTTTCGTTCTAAAGAAGAAAAAAATAAATAATTTTCTTAAATTGAGATAAAAAAAAAATTCATGAATAAAATCCGGAAAAAGATGATAATTTTCACTTTTTAGTTTAAAGTTGAAACATCTAAAAGATATTTTTTAGAATATAATTTGCTTGTCATTATATTTGGATTGAGCAACAGGTACAATAAAGATAATTTGTTACCCTTAATCTACAACACACATTGACAATAGCCTGTAGCGCAAATACGTCAAATTGTCATACATTATGAAGCCACGTGTATGAGAAAAAGAGTTTATATAGTGTACTACTAATTTCATAATACACTAAACGAATTCAAATTTTTTTTTCAAAAAATTAAATTACAAAAATCTGAACAAAATGAGTATAGAAAATACTACTTTTAGCGAAAAAACATTTTTTACCCAAAAAAAAAAAATTATTTCATAAAAAACAGGAAACGAATAAAAGGGATTAATATTCAAATTTAAAAAATCTTTTAAAAAAAATGAGTAGAAAATACTGTTATTGAATACACATTTCTTTAATTAAAAAATTATTTCGTAAAACAGGAAATAAATAAAAATAGTAAACTGCAACATGATTTGCAGATTTCTTCTTTTTTTTCGACATGTATTTATTTGAAATGAGATTATTAAGGGGAATCAGTTTCCAAACGATAAGGGTCGTAAATTCAAATGACTTGCATAAGATTAAGTGTCATTTCAATTAAACTTAATTAAATATACAGAAGTCAAAAATTTTTTTTCTTGAAAAAAAAGAAGTACAAAAAATAAAAATCTAAATTTAATATACAAAACGAAGTAATCAATTTTTTTTCATAAAATGAGAGAACAAACAAGACCTTCTTATTTTTTACAAAAAATTAAATTAAAAAATAAAAATAATTTTTTTAGTAAAGTTTTTTTAAAATTTTTCCTCTTGATATTCTTACGGGAAACATTTTTCAAATTATTGGAATAAAAGGACAATTAGCATCAGTGATGATTAGGCGTTTAAACTATAAAACAAAAATGAATCGTAAAATTTTCATAAATGGTGTAAAAACTATATGTAACAACGTATTAGGGTAATATGAGGAAAAAAGAAAAAAAAAATTGGATGTATACGTTTGTTAAAGAGATCACATGAAATTTTGCAAACGAATCGCAAATTGCAGTTGCAACCACCCACTTGCTAGTTTAAATTACAGCATTCATAGTGGTAGAAGAATCAAGGCCGGACGAGTGAGATTAGAATCATTAGTCTAGGCTAGTTCGAGGTTTTTCTTTTCTTAGCACTTTGCCTTTGATACCGTTTAACAACTTTTCAGTCAATTTTTATATTTTCTTTTTTATTATTGTCATGAATTTTTTTAAAAACAAGCAATGAAATTTAAAAAAAAAAATTCGTATTAAATTTCTTTACTGAACTTTTTGATTGATTTGTGCTTCAATAACTGGGTCACGGTCATTTAATATTGACATGTGTCTTTATTTTATTTTTTTATTAAATAATTTTATTTTTTTATTTCATTAATATCAATATTTATTTAATCTTAATATACAGTAAAAAAAAATCTACAGAATTTTTAGTAGACCAATTGTACAATTAATTTTATTCTATTTTATATTCTACAAAAAAAAGTTATGTGGAATTTCTCTAGAATTTTTTTTTTAACTCTAGAATAATTGAATGGAATTTTTACATGTATACTCTAGTAAATATTTGGTAAAAGATTACAAACTATTTTTTATAGATATTAATTTATTATGCATTATTATTATCAATAAATTATCAATTAAATTTTATTTTTGAATTTCGCGCCAATTTAGTTCTTGAAATTGCTGCCTTGGCATGAAAATTCGCTCACAAATGAAATGAAGAGAATATAGTACAAGAAGTATGGCGAAAACATGAAATTTCGTTTTAGTTATAAAATAAATAATATTATAAATTACAATCATAAATAAATTGTTAAATAATTACAATTCTACTAAATATTAGGTAAAATTTTACATAATCATTTTTTCATAGATTATGAACAACAAATTATTATTAAAAAAATTATTATTATTATTATTACAACAAATTATTCATTAATTATGTATTATTAATATTAATATATAATAATAATAAATGCAAATTTTTAGACATGGTCCAACCTTGACTATAATGCGTCCAACCAAAAATTTTTTCACTTTGTATAAACTGAAAATGACAATTTTCATTTCACTATACAAAATATTAATATCTTCAGTTGTACAATATATAAATTTTAACAACAATTATTTTTGTGTCAAAATAATGTTAGAGTAACGTTACTGACAAATAATCATTTCGTGAAAACTGAAAGAGACGGTTCTTAATTTTTAAATAAAAGAATTCATTTATCGTTATAAATAAAATTTTTATTAAAACATTAAATTATTTGGTAAATAAATTCTATATCTATAGAATAATAGAATACTTGAATGTTAATTACAATAGTGAATTAATTTATCACCGTAGAAGAAAAATGCAAATGTACAAAATGCTCATGAACATTTTTTTTTCTATTCACAAATAAATGTTAAACAAAATTTTCTATATTTACATATAAAATCGTTTCTGTTCGCAATTTTTATAAATATTTATAAAAAATATATTTTAACTTTTTCATATTTGAATGATATATCAAAAAATTCAATCTTCATTTTACGTTATTGTTTTGTAATAATTGTATACAAAATATATTTTATCACATTATATAAATATATATTCTATATATAACACAATCTGTCTTAAAATTTCCTATAACGTTAAAATTAAAATACTATTAATACTTAATGTAATAGTTGTTTTTGTTTTGATAAGTAAATTTTGGGAATTTTTTTTTTTTTTCATTAACAGTGATGAAATTTTTATATTATGTAATCCTAAATTTATTTTTCAATTTCAGTTTAAGTGGAACTTTTTTCTACGTGGTTCTCATTTTTTTCTGAATTATTCTTTTCCTCTAGTGTCAATGACTTGACAAAATCACGCCTCATGTCTTCATCACTTCCATATAGATCCACATTTTTACCAAGATACCAAACTCCAATGTCGAATAGAACACCAATTATGGTGAAACCTGAAATTTTTTTTTCAATTAATTAAATTTGAATTTTTCTAAATAAAAATTAATTAAATGCAGGGTTGCCACAGATTAGGAAATTTAGGGAAAAGTCAGGAAAAGTAGAATTGATCAGGGAAATCATAGAAAAGTCAGAAATTTTTATTAAAAGTACTGAAAAAAATTTAATGTTTAGAATTTTTGTGTCTTTTTGTTTGCCTCATAAACTATGAAATTACTACGAATTCTTAAAAAAAAATCTTACATTTTTTCTATTTCTGAAAATAATTTATTTTAAATAACTTAATTCTATATTAAAGAACTGCCATAAAGTTATTGCTTATAAATCATGTAATAAAGTATTTTTTAAAAATTTTAATTTCAATTCAGTTAAAATTAGTTTCAATTTTTTAAATTTTGACGCAATTCTTTGAAAGAAATCAACCATCTAAATAAATATTAAAATTCTTTCAAGAAATTCAATTATTTTCAAAAATTAAAAAAAAAGTTCTTGTAAACGTCATTTTAATTATCTTTATAAATAGCAAAATTCTTCGTCGAAATTCAATTATATTTAAGAATTTTATAAAATTTATTGCAAAATTCAATTATTTTCATAAATAACAATATTCACCATAAGAATTCAATTATTTTCAAAATTATTAAAATTCTTCTAAAAAAATCAATTAGTTTTAAAAAATCTTAAAAAATTGTCAACATTTCAATTATCTTTATTAATAAACAGCAAAATTATTTTCATAAATAATTGTATTCATCACAAGAATTTAATTATTTTTAAAAGTAATAAAATTCAATTATTTTCAAAAATTTTAATAAAATTCTTTCTCAAAATTTCAATTATTTAAAAAAAATTTTTTTAATTCAATGATTTTCAATATGCTACTATTTTAATAAAATTCCCCAAAAGAATTCAATTATTCAACAAAAATTTTGGTAATATTCTACACGAACATTTAATTATTTTCAAAAAAAAAAAAAATTTCACAGACATTCAATTATTAAAAATAAAATTTACATAAATTTTTTCGAAAAAAGCAAACGTTTTAAAATTTGTCATTAAATTCTTCGTAGTAATTCAATTATTTTCAAAAGTTTTAAAATTATTTTCATAAATAACAATATTTATCATGAGAATTCAATTATTTGCAAAAATAATAAAATTCAATTATTTTTAAATATTTTAATAAAATTCATGGTCAAATTTCTATTATTTAAAACAAAAAATTTTTAATTCAATAATTTGTATATCTATTATTTTGAAAAAATTTCCCAAAAGAATTCAATTATTTAAAATCAATTTTGACAAATTTTCTCATGAATATATTTAATTATTTTCTAAAATCATGAAAATTTCACAGGAATTCAATTATTAAAACTAGAATTTGCATAAATTTTTTTTTAAAAAGTCAATTGTTTGAAACTGTTTTATAAAATTCTGTGCAATAATTCAATTATTTTCAGTAATAATGAAACTCATTTCAGAATTTCAATTATTTTTATAACAATTTTAATCGAATTCCTCGAAAAATGTAATTATTCTTAAAAACTTTTATTGAAATTCGTCGAAAGAATTTAATTATTTAAAAATTTTTTAATAAAATACTTTATGAAAATTCAATTTCGAGAAACATTCAATTATTCAATAAATTATTTGCTTTTATATTTAAATAATTGAATTTTCGTAGAATTTTCTAATAAAAATTGAGTTAAAAATTAATTTTAGTTAAAATTTTAGATTATAATGGAAGATTAATATTTATAGCGTGAAAAATTGAATTTTGAAAACGTTTCAAATAACAATCTTTGAAAATTTGAATTTTTTATATTTTTAATTAAAAATTCTATGAAACTAATTTTTTTTGAAGAAGCTTAATCGAAAATTTTTTAAATTATTTAAAGTTTTTATTTGCTAATGTATATTTAATTGAAGAATTTACGAATAATCGAAATTTCGTAAAATGAATTGTAAACAAATGGATTTGAAAATTGTTAAAGAACTTTTTAAAAAATTATTAAAAATAGTTGATTTAACAAAGAATTTTAGTGTAAAATTATGGACATTTATTATTTTCTAGAATTATTCACTAAAATTCTTCTTTTTAAAAATTTATTAAAAATAATTTATTTAAATAATAATAATTTTCTAGAATTTTTCACTAAATTTTTTTTTAAATCTATTATTTTTAATAATTTTTCAAAAAGTTCTTTTACGATTTTCAAATCCATTTGTTTACAATATAATTTTACGAAATTTCGCAATTTTTTAATTTTTAATTAAAAGAAGTTTAATGAAAAATTCTTCTTTAAATCAATTATTTTTAATAATTTTTAAGAAACTTGTTTAATAATTTTCAAATCCATTTGTTTACAATTCAATTTTACGATTATTATTGAAATGAAATAATGAAAGTAATTTTGAAGAAGTTACATTCACAATATTCAATTATAATATAAAATAATGATTTTATCACTCGGTAGCACCTTTAATTATTAGAATTATTAGAATTAAAAATCTTGAAAATCTTAGTTTCCATGGAAAAATAATAATTAATTAATTAATTTATTTATATTTATTTTACTTAGTGAATCAGAATATTCTTTAAAGTCAGGGAAAACGTTAAATTTTTTTCTGGTTATCAGAGAGAAACAAAATTAAATTTTTGTGGCAACCCTGAAAAATTTTTCCTTCACTCAAAATTCTTTTTCCAGATAAATTATTTTTTCCACTAAGTAAATTTAATGAATTTTACAAAATGTAACAATTTCTAAAAAGAAAAATCTTTAATGTTGATAAACTGGTTTTTCTTTCAAATTTTTCTTTTCTTAGGGTCTCGAAAATTGATGATTTATCTGAATTTAAAAGGATGGAAGCAATTCAAAAAATTAAATTTGATTAGCGTGTTATTTATCAAATTATAACTCACATATTGCCGTGCTGTTAATATAGTTTCGAAACTTATCTGGGTCATAAACCCAACAGTTTCCCTTCATACCACAAGCATCGTCCCACACAAGGCAAGTGGAATCTATCAGTGCTCCATAAATAATGGGACCCGGAATAAGGGCAAAAAGTGAGATCAACATTAATGTTATTCCTTGAGCAAATGCCTTATCCCTGTCGTCGACACTTCGATAATTAACCAGAACATTGCCAATTTTTCCAGAACATGTGAGCAATTGTATAATGCACATTATAATTGTCAGTATTAAATAGGGATTTCGACAATCACTTTTACAAGCACCAGCTTTAACGATATTTAAAATATTTGTCATCAAAATATTGTCATCTTGATTAATTGAAGAAACACTCAATTGATCCTTCAACTGATTATCCGATTGATAATAGGAATTTTGAATATTCATTGGATTTTGTGTACAACTGCAATTTCCATATTCACCATTTGTCAGTACTGTCTTACAACCTGCGTGGCATGCCGAGAAAAATGTTGTCATTGTTGGCTCATAACAAACCGGCGAATATTTCACCGTATCACAGGAACAATCTGCGTTGCATGGAGAGTCGAGATTTATTCTGCGAAAGAAGAAATAATTTCATTTACAAAATTAACAATTTTTTTTTATTTTTATATTTGAATTTTTTTATTTTCAATAAAACGGTATTAAGTTGAATATGTGACGTACTTCGAAGAAAGGTACCTAAGAAGAAACATTATTTTTAGGTTATATTTGTATAATTCTTCCGTTAATTAAACGCTTCTGTTTAATTGTTTAAAAGTAAAATCAGTTTTTATTAATTATATTAGATGTAAGAAATAATTCACTATCAATCGTTTATATTGAGATTTGATCCCCATGGTATATTTTCGTTCCAAATATTATAAACATAACCTAGAAATTTTTGCATCTTAGGTACCGTTCTTTAGAGCGCGTCACATATAAGAAAAACTATGTCCATAAATAAAAATGGAAATTAATTAAATAATACGAATGAAATAATCTTTTTTTCTCCACTTCTTTTTTCTACTTTTATCCAAAAGTGAAAATTATTTACAATTTATTTATTTACGAATATTATTTATTTTATAACGGAAGCGAATCAATTTTAAAAATTTTAACCTAATTTTTTGAAAGAATCCAACTATCTTAATAAATATTAAAATTCTTTCCAAAAATTCAATTATTTTCAAATATTTAAAAAAATTCTCTTCAACATTTTAATTATCTTTGTGAATAGCAAAATTCTTCGTCAAAATTCAATTACCTACATTTAGAAATTTTTATAAAATTCATTGCAAAATTCAATTATTTTCATTAATAATAGTATTTATCACAAGAATTCAATTATTTTCAAAATTAATAAAATTCTTTGCAGAAATTCAATTATTTTTAAATATTTAAAAGAAAATTCTCGTCAAAATTTTAATTATTATCTTTATAAATAGCAAAATTTCTTTTTTGAAATTCCATTATATTCACGAATTTTTATAAAATTCTTTCCGGAAATTCAAATATTTAAAAAAAATTCTCGATAACATTTTAATTATCTTTGTAAATAGCAAAATTCTTCGTCAAAATTCAATTATATTCAAGAATTTTTATAAAATTCATTGCAAAATTCAATTATTTTCATAAATAATAGTATTCATCACAAAAATTCAATTATTTTCAAAATTAATAAAATTCTTTCCAGAAATTCAATTATTTTGAAATATTTAAAAAAAATTCTCGTCAATATTTTAATTATCTTTATAAATAACTAAATTCTTTGTCAAAATTCACAATCACAATAATTCAATTATTTTTAAAATAATAAAATTCTTCTAAAAATTCAATTATTTTTAAAAAATCTAAAAAAATTGTCAACATTTCAATTATCAATAAATAGCAAAATTCTTCGACAAAATTCAATTATTTTCAGAAATTTTAATAAAATTCTTTCCGGAAATTCAATTATTTTCAAATATTTAAAAAAAATAATTCTCGTTAATATTTTAAATATCTTTATAAATAGCAAAATTCTTCGTCAAAATTCAAATACATTTTGGAATTTTTATAAAATTCATTGCAAAATTCAATTATTTTCATAAATAATAGTATTTATCTCAAGAATTCAATTATTTTCAAAATTAATCAAATTCTTTGCAGAAATTCAATTATTTTTAAATATTTAAAAGAAAATTCTCGTCAAAATTTTAATTATTATCTTTATAAATAGCAAAATTTCTTTTTCGAAATTCCATTATATTCACGAATTTTTATAAAATTCTTTCTGGAAATTCAAATATTTAAAAAAAATTCTCGACAACAGTTTAATTATCTTTGTAAATAGTAAAATTCTTCGTCAAAATTCAATTATATTCAAGAATTTTTATAAAATTCATTGCAAAATTAAATTATTTTCATAAATAATAGTATTTATCTCAAGAATTCAATTATTTTCAAAATTAATAAAATTCTTTGCAGAAATTTAATTATTTTTAAAAATTTTAATAAAATTCATATGGAAAAATTTCAATTATTTACAAAAATTGTTCTTAATTTAATATTGTTTATTTTTCCAACTAATTTAAGATAATAATTTTTATATTATATAAAATGTAAAAAATATAATTATGTAAAAAATTATGTTAAAATTATCATCTGAAATTAGTTAATAACTTTTTATTATTTTCAACCTAAAAATAAAGTTTTTTTAAAAAAAAAATTAATCAAAAAATTTTTTTTAAATTGTTTATATTAGATTAGAAATAAATTTAAACTCAAATATCAACAATATAATTATGTTCAAGCTTTACGAAAAATATTTACAGAGGGAGTTTTAAGAAATTAATTTAAGAAAAGAAAAGTTAACTTAGTTAAAAGTTACCAATTCGTGGAAAATTACCCATATAATTAATTAATATTTATGAAAAATTAATTGTGCAAATTTCTACCTAGAATTTACTCTAGTAAGAAAATTTTCTTTCTGGTTAAGAAAGTCTACCGAATTTTTTTCAGTTAAATTCTATAGAAAATGTTCAGTATATTTTATTTAGAATCATTCTGTATAATCTTTTGAATAAGATTCTACAGAATATTATGTCTGGGTTTTCTTTTCTATTTTCTTTATTTTCTATAAATAAATTTTTGCTAAAATCCACCTTGGAAATACGAAAAATATTGTCAAAGAACTTGCGCATTGTTTTATTCAAATTTCAAATTGATATAATTTCTAGAAGAATTAGAAGATTTTAATTTTTATTTACTGAATTTTAAAGCATTTTCTGTGTATTTTTCAAATTCAAATCTATTTTATAAAAAAAAAATTAATCCCGCTTTTGTCAAAAATAAACCTTATTTTTTAATTTGTTACAGAAACTACCTCTTTTTTTTATTTTTTCAATCATTTTTATTAGGAAGTTTTTTTTTTAGTAAATTTCGTAAAGCTAAAAAATGGGGTAACAATTGTTTTTCAAAAAGGATTTAAAAAGTTAACTTTTTCTTATTTTCTTGAAAATCTATTGTTATCTCTCACCTTTGAAATTTACATAATTTATTGGAAAAAATCTCAGGTTTTTAATGAAAATGATAAAAAAATTAAAAAACGAGGTAGTTCTTTACAGTTTTTATCTAAGGATATCAAATTGAGACAAAAGACAAATCAAAAGTGTTGCGAAGTAACGTTTTGATTCGTCTTTTGTCTCAATTTAATGTTCTTAGAAAAATTACGTTATAAAAATTGAAAAATAAGATTTTATTTGAAAAAAGAATTTTTGAATTGAAAAGTCCACTAAAAATGCTTTAAAATTCACTATTAAAAATTAAAAAGTGTCAAGTTCTGTCGAAATTATACTAATTTTAAATTAATAATTTTGCTGAAAACCTCATAACTGTAATCCCTATAATTTATACTATTAATTTTTTTTTATAAAAGTTCATGTTTTCAGATTTTATTACTTTTATACACAACAACAATTTATCAGAGTTCTAATTAAGCCATTTCTAGAAAATAAAAATTTTTACTTAATCTTTTCACGTGGAGTTGCTTAGAGTTCAAATTTTACTATTTAATAAATATTGTAGAAAAAAATTATATAAAAAAAGTATTAGTTTCTTTTTAGAGATAAAAACTTACTGCATCGATTTTGAATCAATTCCTTCGATTTGAGTAGCGGGACAGCTCAAAAATAAAAATGCCGTTTGTCCAAAAATGTACGATATGCCAATAATGACATTCCAGCCGAGCAAAATTCGTGGACCTGGTTTATATTTACTAATCACTGCTCCTGATATCAGAAAACCGAGTACCATTCCTATTAAAGTGATCGGGCCTGTTCGAAAACAATAATCAAAATAAAATATATTAGAAATATTTTGATATTTAAAAAAAGAAATATCTAAATTTCTGTCATTATTGTTTTATTATTTTTGCTTCAAGAAATCATGCTGTGCCTTTTTACGTGCAAGTTTGCAATAATATTAAAATACCTACAAATTTGTCTATTGGCATTTTTTTAGGGTGTTATTTTTACCTGTAATCATTGAACTTTTTGCAGCTGATACACCAAACAAAACCTCCATATATTTCGACATGAATGTTATGTAAGCTGATGCACCAAGAATATAAAAAACTCCACTGAAATTGTTGCAGGTCAAAATGGGATTCAACATTAATCGTTTCGTCGATGTAATAAAATCACTCACTGTTGGAACAAATTCCATTTCTTTATTTGCTACCGTCGAATTTTCTTTTTCTTTTATATTCTCAATTTTTTGGAATGTCGGATCATGTTTGAAAGGTTCCTCCGCAATCTGTGCATTATCACAATAAACATGTAAAATATTATCAAATATTCTTTTCCTCAAAGTCCCTAACTTCTTACAGATTGTTTGCTGCATATTCTTAATTTTTTCTAGATTTTAATTTATTTTGATTTTTATGTGAATTTTGCTATACAGTATATGATTAGTAGAAGAATAAGAAACTACCTCCTTGGAAGATGTATTTGATTTTGGCAAATGACGTGGAAACATGGCAATAAAAACTGCAAACATTCCCATAGTCGTTCCAAGAATAATCCAACCGATCCACCAGGCACCCAACCATCGTGGATCTTCTTTAGTAATTACAGGATGCAAAGTAGGATCTATATACAAACTTAAACATGCATAGCCTAAAACGAATCCAACGACAGGTCCCAAAGTCCGAAGAGCAAACGTGACTCCTGCAAGAAAGAAAATAAATAAAAAATTTATCCTTAAGCGTATAAAAAAAAGTACTAAATAAAACTCAATTCTTCTTACAATAAATAAGGAGAAATTAAAAAAGATATTTTCCATAAATAGGTAAAAAAATAGAAGAAAAAATTGCACTAACTTAAGAATTGACTTCACTAAAAAATAGATTCTTTTTGAAAAATTCCCTTAAAAACATTTTGCATCAAATAAATTTTTGCATTAAATCATTATCATACCCAAATATTGTGCATTAAAATCTAAATTTGAACATTTACGATTGATAAGACAAGGAAAACAATGAATTTTGATTTCTTAATTTTTCTGAAGAAAATAAAAAGAGAATAAATTTTCCTAAAATTAGAAATCAAGTTTTTTCTTCTAACGGAAACGTTTTATATAAATAACTATTTTATTGATATTTATCAGATATACAACGAAGCGGGAATAAAAAAACGTAAACAAGTTAAAAAAAGAAATTAACATTATTAATCTTTTTATCGGTCATTTATCAAGTTAGATAAGAAAAAAAAATGTAAATCCCAAGGGTTGAATTAACAACAAAAATTCTAAAAAAAAAACACTTTTTTTCAATTGTCTCTTTAATGGACCTTCTTTATTAATTTTATCAAAACTAGAATTAAATTACAATTCAAAGTTAAAAATTATAATTGAATTTTAATAAATAATAATAAATCAATAAATAATAATTTTATAAATAATAAATTTATAAACACTAAATAGAATTAAATTTGAATCTAAAACAATGATTGGAATAAAATTTTAAGGTGGACACATGTCAGTAAAGTCTGGGAAATGTCAGGGAAACAAAATTTTTGACAGTAAAGTCAGGTAAATTAACGAAATTGAGATTTTTTTAGACTTATTTTCAAAAATTGCGACTTTTCTTACAAATATTGCAACGAAATACAAAAATTCTTTTAAAAAATTCAATTATTTTTAAAAAATTATATTAAAATATTTTTAAAAACTAATTCTTAGAGTTGTTTTAACAAGATTCAATTATCTTTGAACAAAGTGAATAAAAATTTATAAAAATTTACTTTTTTAGACTTATTAAAAAATTATAAATATTTATAATTAAAATTCTTTGAAAATTTTATTATTTTTATTTATATTTTTAAAAAATTCAATTATTTTTAAAAGATTTTATCAATTGTTTTGAAATTTTCTAATTGTATATAATTAAAAAACTATTATCTTTCAAAAATTATTGAAAAATATTTTTAAAAAAATTAATTGTGAGAATATCTTTATTATAATTCTTTGAAAATATTTTACCTTAATAACTTAAGAAAAAAAAATATGGACCGTTACAATCATTATAAAAAAAGAGTTTTTGTATTTAAAATAATTGAATTCTAGAAGAACTTTCAAAAAATAATTTAAAATAATTCATTTAGAAATGAAGTTTAGTTGAAAATTGCAGAAAATAATTGAATTCACGTAGGGTTATAATTATAATTTTTAAAAATTATTAAAATTCAAGAAGTTTACTCATTATTCGTAAACTTTCATATTTTCCAGTAAAAAGAATTTTGTCAGGGAAAATAATTTTAATGTCAGTAAATTCTAAGGTAAATTGATAAACTTAAAATTGTGACCACCCTGAATTTTAATTAATAATCAGAATTAAATTTTCAATTCAAATTAAGAATTAAATTTTCATTCAAAGTAAAACATTATAATTAAATTTTAATAAATAATAATAAATTAATAATAATTTTATAAAATAATAAATAGATACTAATTAGAATTAAGTTTTAATCTAAAACAATGATTAGAATTTAATTAAAATTAATAATCAGAATTAAAATTCAATTGAAATGAATAATTAGAATTAAATCTCAGTCTAAAATAAATTTCTATTTATATTAATAATTCGAATTTTTTCATTAAATCCAAATTGTATAATCTAATTTTACTCCCCCATGCGCACCGTTAGTGTGGCAATGACACTGGAACTCGAATGATTTTTATTAAACGATACTCACGAATCTTGTCATCTCTTACGCAACGAAATAAAAATAATTTCCTAGCATTTCAAGATTAAGAATCAAAATTTTACTTTCCTTCCTTTGGGCTTAAAATGTAAAATTTTTCATTTTTATTGCTTCAATAATTTATTGATTCTTTACTTTTTGAGAAGCGAAATTGATAAAAAATAGTTAATTCAGTTTTTTGGAGGTGAGCAGTTTCTTTTCATGAAAAAAAAGTCTTGCAGTGGGGGATAATGAGTAAGAGAGAGAAAAAAGGAATTTTCTCTCTCCGTTCCATTGCCTCCACTTTGGCGTTGGCGCACGCGCCCAACGACGTATTAGCGTTGGAGTGGGGGCAATGAGAAAGAAAGAGAAAAAGGAAATTTTCTCTCTCTTACTCATTACCCCCACTTGGCGCGTGCGCCCGAAGGAAACTCAGCGTTGGAGTGGGGGCAATGCGAAAGAAAGAGAAAAAGAGAATCTTCTCTCTCTTACTCATATTGACTTGGCGCGTGCGCTCGAAGTTAACGCATCAGAAGAGTGGGGGCAATGAGAAAGAAAGAAAAAAGCAGAATCGCTTGCGCCCAACGAAAATTCAACATCTGAGTGAAAATAAAAAAAAACATACCCAACAACATTGGAGTATTTTTCTTCTTCGTATTATCATCAAGATACGTTTGTCCCAATCCATAATAAAGCGTTGTGCCAATACCTAAAATAAATTGTGACAAAAAAACAAGTAATCTTGGAAGAATACTTATGTCCTGTAGTGATTCTTCATCACAACTTGGTGGCTCTCTATTTCTCGTGCAAGTTGGAAGGTCCTCACTTACAGTGGAATTAATAATTAAATTTTGATCGAGATACTCTCGTGTCAAGGCTAATGCATCCTTTCCAGGACCGTAAATAATATGTGGAAGGGCCAGTACAATGCATGATAATGCACTTAATGCAACACCAACGGCTATCCATCTTGGCCGATGACCAGTTCCTCCGTAATACGTTAAAACTAGAGATAAAATTTGTGATATCTCATTTCCTGAGAGTATTATTCCTGTAATGTGTAAAGAGAAACTAATATCATTGTTTCCATAGAAAATATCTTTATTTGTTTTTAATTATATGGAGGGAAAAAAAATACTTTTTCTAATTCGAGTTCTTATTTTTTGGATGAAAAAATTATCGCTAAGTAAACGTAATTAATTACTATTTAAACATAATTAAAAAAGCACTATTTCTTTCAAAATATTATACTGATTAGTGAATGTAATATGATTTTTTAAGAATTCTTTATCGATAGTCTCTATCTTGTGCAGATGGTAATATTTATTTTATTTCACTTCGAACAATCTTGACAATTTTATTTTACATAAATAAATAATTAACATTTGTATTAACAAACATTCCATTCTAATAATTTTTGTACAAAACTTTAAAATTATATTTCTACATTTCTTTATTTTTACGTCTAGTATAAATTATAAATTTTGAAACACTGCTTTTACAAATATAAATAAGTGATTAGGAGAAATTACAATAAAATAGTATTTTTCCATCGACTTTGAACAAAAATTCTAGGCTTTTTGTATTTTAATTTTTTACCTGTTGTTTGACTTGGAATTTTAAACCTTTTCTCAAGTGTTGTTAAGGTGACCATGACATATACGAAAGCCATACTTTGAACTGTGCCAAGTAGGCCATAAACAATAATAAAAACTTTTGCGGTTGCTCGACCTTCCAGCCATTTGGGATAAATGCCACAAAGACCGCATTTTGAATCCTCGCCCATCCTTCCGGCAGTCCTTAAATATTTTTTTAATTTATAAGAATCGAAAAAAAGGAGTAGCGAATTTAGAGAAAAACAAGTTGCGCATGCGCCCCGCGTCAACGGTAGAGTGGGGTCAATGAGTGCGAGAGAGACAATTTCGTGTTTCTCTCTCGCACTCATGGCCCCCACTCTACCGTTGACGCGGGGCGCATGCGTGACAATTCAGCGTTGGAGTGGGGGCAATGGGAAAGAAAGAGAAAAACGGAATTTTCTCTCTCACACTCATTACTCCCCACTCTACCGTTGAAATGGAGAAAAAGAAAAACGGTATCAAATAAAAAATTATTGTTGAGAAAAAATTGAGAAAAAATTTCATCTAATAAAAAATAAAAAAAATTATAACACAAATTTTTTTCTTCTTTAAATAAATCTTTTTCGAAAGAAAAAAGAATTTATATCAGAAATGGTATAAAATTTTCAGACAATAAAATTCGTGTCCTATATATATAAAAGACCACACACGTGATTGAATCTTCCTTTATTCCTATAGTCATTTGCATATTGTAACTCTATCGTACTTTGCGTTTGTCAATATGTATTTTATGATTATGGAAATCTAACTAATAATTACCCCCGCCCCTTGAAGAAAAAAAAACAATAAATAAAAACAGAAAAAAATTAGAAGCATTGTTCAAAGAAAAGATAAATTTTGCAATTGTTTCGAAAACAGTAAAATTAAAAAGAGTCAATATAAAATAAAAAAATTATGACATCGTGTCAATTTGTAAAGTACATAAATCATAAAATTCATATTGTTTTCAGCACTATTGTCTGAATATTTATTTGCTATATCTCTAAATGCATAATTTGTTTCTTACATAACGAAAACTACCAACATTGTTTGACCTGTGAGTTCGACAAATGCATTCTACAATTATTGTACACGATCTGTACACTACTGCTAAATCTGTATTAAAGGCATGTAACGAGAGGTAAATTACTGTTCTGTGCGAATCTTGTACAGTCACCACTAAAAGGAATATTTCTAATACGAAACAAATTTTTTTTTTTGATTACAATCAATTTTTTTACGATTTTAGAAAAAACTATGGAATAATTTTTTTTTAATAATAAATAATTTTGGAAAAAATTTTTCCGTAAATTCTTATTTGCGCAGAAAAAATATGAGACTTTTAAATAACAATTTTTTCTTTTTCTAAATTTGAAAGAAAATTCTTTTTCTTACATAGAATTGAAATTGACTGTATAGAAATTTTACAGGATGTGCATATCCTAGAGAGTATGTAATTATCATCTCTTTTATGCATTTATATACATCTTTCGTCTTTTATTCAAAAAAACACGTATATTTCATATCTAGAATCGTAAAATATATGTAATTATCAACAAACTATATTAGACTTATTAATAAAAGAGCTGATTGTTTATTATTAATCGAAAATTCTTTAAATGTTTATAAGATAAGAAGAATATTTATATGGAATTTTTATATTATTGTATAAAGATAAAATGAACTATTTTATGATGATAAATGAAATATTTTATAAAGATAATTAAAAAAATTATGATTATAGATTATTAAGTATTTATATAAGTTATAAATTTATTTAAGAAGATTAAATAGGAAAAAAAGAAAGATTTGACAAAATTGAAAAGATGAGCAATAAATTAAAAAATTTATTCATTTTTTTTTCCTTTTTGGTAGATATAATAAATTGCTCATAGTAAGTAAAGAGAAAGGGCGCAGACATTAGAATCGTAAGATTTGTAAAAGTGGCACGTATTTTCAATGTACGTCATTCTACATATAATTTAATTCATATTTATTTCAAAAAATTCTGCACCTCACATATGAATTAATTTATATTGTTCAAATTTTTATTTTCTTTCCTAAAGAAGTTGTCGAATCTACATAAATTCTGCATTTAAGACAATAATTCAGTTTTATTTCTATGTTGTGTTAATTTTTCACTCTTTCCTATTTTATTTATTTATATAAATTCACTGATACAAAGTACTTAACAATAACCGAAAATTAATCATTATTATTAGTTTTACATAAAAGTAGTAGTTATTAGAAAATATTTTTAAATTATTTTAAAAATTATTATAATTTCTTGCAATTCTTATAAATTATTATTTACTTTTGTATAAATTATTATAAATATTATAAATAATTATAAATAATAATAAATAATAATAAATAATGTTTGTAAATTATTATAAAATGTAAATAATATATTTTACTTCTAATAAAACAATTCATTAAATTGATCCTAATTAATAATTTTAATTGAATAGTTATTTAAACTATATATTTATTTTATGTTTTACTTATTTCTGATAATAGTTATTTATTTGAATACTTATTTAATTTAATAATTAGATTTCTCACCTAATGTAAAAAGTTTAATCACTTTCACTCCTTTGATAAAAATAAATTATTTCATAATTTTTAAAAATAGTAAAATTTACAAGTATATTCAATTAGGGAGTGAAAATTATTTTAATTTTTTACATTATTTTAATTTTTTCAAATTTCAATTTTCATTTCTTAGAATTATTTATTTTTAAATTATTTTTTTAATTAGAATTTCCTTACAACAATGAGTAAACTATTCGTGAAACTACAATTTATAACAGTAAAAAAAGGAAATGTGAACAATTCTCATTTTACACACTTTTTGCAGATTACAAATCTCGATAATCTGAATGACTGAGCATTATTAACTTCTGATTACGAATATAACTTTGATTTATCAACTCAAGAAGTAATTTTTACAAATTAGCAAAAGATTGTAGAATATAATTTGTTCCACTTATATACATAAAAAGTCACATTGACAATCGAAATTAAAAATTACCACGTTAATAATTAATATAAATCATTAGAAAAAACAATTTTTTACTTAAAAAATTTTTTTTTTAAACAATAATTTAGTTTTTTAAATTTGATTTTTTTTTTCAAAAACAGAAAAAGAAATTCTTGGCAAAAAGAATTCTGGAAAATGTATCCAAAATGAAGAAATAGAGAAGTACAAGAAGGGAGAATTATATAGAAATAGAAAACTAAATTTTGCTGTACCTAATGAACAAAATTTCTAAAATTAAGAACAGAATTTCCTTTACCGTTCTTAATGACAGGACACGTGACTTTCTCCTGGCATGGACGCCGGAAGGATAATCCACTTTCTTGAACGTTCTCCTGGAGAACGTTTATCTTTCTATTTTGAAGATTTTTGTTACTGTCACTTGTTTAAAAGAAAATTTAATTTAATTCAAGGATAAAGGTGGACAAGAGGTGATTGAGAAATAAAGGAACACTCTAATGTCGAATAATCACTGGATAACTGAGCATCATCCGCTTTAGTTGTAGCTTATTCGCTTCCCCTACTCTTTTTAATACAAAATATAAAACGATAAAAGAAGAGTAATTCAAATGTTTGTGCGCCTTATGTTCAAATGAAAGACAGCTGCTGGCATCTGACGTTGAAATGGTGAATTGAAACTCGAATGGTATTTTATCCACTGATAAGGGAACAGTGGAGAACCAAATGCCACTGGAGAATGAACCACAGGTCAAATGAACCACTTTTACTATAGTTTGATATTGAGAGCGGTATGGTAGTTGATAGAAAATTCGAGAGATGGAGCTGTGGAAAAACGTCCAGAATTTTTCTACTCGCTCTAATAATGTTTCTGAATGATAACAAATAAAAACATTCATTTTTGTGAGCAAACAAATTGTGGATATTTTCTACCCTCCTTATTTTTTGTGAATTGACTTTTCTATTAAATTCCTTTTTTTCGAAAGAAATATCAACTGATATACATTATTATTGTTTGTCTGTTTTCTTACTTAGAAACAATACCATAACCAGAATAATAAAATTGAAGGTTTTCTACCCTCCTACATTTTTTTGTAAATTAGTCTAGCCTATGAAAAATCAATTTTTTCCGAAGAAAATTAAGAAAAAATTATAAAAAATGGAATGCCGTTGAAATTATTTTCAAAAAATGCCCTTGCTTGAAAAACTTAATTAAAGGAAATATAATGGTTTGTGAGAAAACTAAATAAACCGTAACAATAATTTGGATGTATTTACGTTCTAATACCAAATTTTTCTTTTAGATGTTACAGATGAATTATCAACAAAAAAAGGCTTTCTGTTAGAGAACTAAATCGTAACAATTTTTTGGATGTATGTATTTTCATTCCTGTATTTTCATTTGGAGAGTAAAAAACTCATGGTCATCATCTAATTCCAAATTTCTTTTAAATCTTTCAAATGGATATCAGTGAAAACAAGGCTTTTTGTTAGAGAACTAAATCGTAACATTTTTTGGATTTATTTTCATTTCTCTGGAACCGGATTTTAAGTTCTGACAATTTGGTGAGTAAAAAAATTACAATGTTCATCTAATTAAAATTTTCTTTTTTTAGACGTGGCATATGAATTATCAACAAAAAAACGGGTTTTTTGTTAGAGTACTAAATTGTGACAATTTTTTGGATGTATTTTGATTCCTCTAAAAGTGAATTTCAAGCTTTGACAGTATGGTGAGTAAAAAAAATATTCATGGTCATATCTAATATCAAATTTCTTTTTCTTTTTTAGATGTTGCAGATGAATTATTAACAAAAAAGGCTTTCTGTTAGAGAACTAAATCGTAACAACTTTTTGGATGTTCTTTTATTCCTCTGGAAGCGGATTTTAAAATGACACTTTGGTGAGTAAAAAAATTACAATGTTCATCTAACTAAAATTTTCTTATTTTAGACGTTGCATATGAATTATCAACAAAAAAACGGCTTTTTTGTTAGAGTACTAAATCGTGACAATTTTTTGGATGTATTTTGATTCCTCTAAAAGCGAATTTCAAGCTTTGACAGTATGGTGAGTAAAAAAAATATCCATGGTCATATCTAATATCAAATTTCTTTTTTAGATGTTGCAGATGAATTATCAACAAAAAAGGCTTTTTGTTAGAGAACTAAATCGTAACAACTTTTTGGATGTTCTTTCATTCCTCTGGAAGCGGATTTTAAGCTGTGACACTTTGGTAAGTAAAAAAAGTGCCCATGATCATGTAATATTAAATTTCCTTCTCTTTTTCAGAAGTCGTACACGAATTACGAACGAAAAAATGCTTTTTGTTAGAGAACTAAATCGTAACATTTTTTGGATGTATTTCCACTTCTATATAATTTAATTTGGAGAGAGAAAAAAATACCCATGGTCATGTAATTCTAAATTTTTTTTAGATGTTGCAGATGAATATCAGTGAAAAAAAGGTTATTTGTTAGAGAACTAAATCGTAACAATAATTTGGATATATTTTCATTTCTCTGGAAGCTGATTTCAATCTAATACTTTGGTAAGTAAAAAAATGACCATAATCACATAATACTAAATATCTTTTTCCAATGTCGCAGACGAAATATCAACCAATAAACGTTGTTTGTCAGAGAACTAAATCGTAACCAAATTTGGATGTATTTTCATTCATCTTAAAGAAGAATTTAATTTGAAATGTAAAAAATGCTTTATTGTAATTTTTTTTCTGCACTTTTCTTCTAAAATAAATTATTAAGGCATGTATAAATTATTATTATTATTAGGCAAAATTAAATAAATGAACACCACATATTTCTCTTAGAGACAATATATTTTGCTTCTGTTTTAATTAAACTAATGTCGAACGACAATATTGATAGTATTGTAGTTAACAGACAATATAGGTATATATTACAGTCGTTAATTCTAAGCACTTAGGATGTCAATGACTTCTGCAGTCATTAACGCTTAGCATATATTTTTTTTCTAAATTTCATTGATTTTTTTTTAAGTACATATTTACCTATGCAGTAGCAATACTATATAATAATTCTAGTTGTAATTGAAAGTGATATTGAGTCATATCAAAACAGTAATAACTATCATCAAGTTGATAAAATAATAATAATAATAATAATAATAATAATATATATAATATAATAATAATTATAATAATAATAATAATAATAATTACAATAATTATAATAATAATAATAATAATAATAATAATAATAATAATAATAATAATTATAATTATAATAATTATAATAATAATGATAATAATTATAACAATAAGAACTATAATAGCTATTATAATAATAGTAATTATAATAATTATTATGACAATAATAATTATAATTATTATAATGATTTTAATAATAATAATGGCAATAAAGTAATAATATAATAATTAGGTAATTACTATTTGCTCCTAATAACTGTATTATATTACTAATCGTCCTATTACATAATAATAATATCCGAAACTACGTACTTTCTCGCGAGACTTTGATTTTTCTTTCTTTTGCTACTTTATTATTTATACATTTCGATGATTCGACGTCTCTCTTCATCGATGTCTACTAAGCCATCTAATTTTGTAAAATCATCGATTTCTAAAGTCTCCAAGGCCTCTAATTTTAAGACTAGTTGACCTCAAAACGCGATTTCTTGATAATTGACTCTCGCTCTTCATCTCTCATACAATTTTTTTTTTTTATAAACTTGTTCACTCATCCACTTTTCTCTCTGCGTTTCATACAACAAACGTGACACTGACTAGTTTTCTAACCGATACCAAGAGCGCTTTTCTAAGGCACTTGTTTTTTTTTCCTCCAAAATTAGAAATGGACCTATTTAGTTTCAATTTCATTTTTTTTGTGTTAAAAAAAGTTCTTTTTCTTTTGTTTACAAGGCCTCAAAATTAAGACACTTTTACGATGACAATTCTCGTAAGGCAACTTCGGTTAGAGTTTTTTTTTTTTAACAATTATTTAACTCACTAATTTCGTTGATCTTCGAACGACGATGTTTTATTTTGCTTAATTATTTATAGTCATTGTTTATTTTATAATATTACAAAAAGAAAAAAAAGTTCGTCGTCATTTGGACAAAAACTTTGAAATCAGTCGAAGGAGAAAGTAATTTTTCTTTTTTTTTTTTGGAAAGTTTTCTATAAAATAATTAAATTTTGGGAAGAAATGAGAATAAATCGTCAATTCTTTTTTTTTTGATGATTCCTTCCTTATGGGGGGAGAAAAAATCAGGGAAGTTAAAAAGTGTTTTCTTTAAAAAAAAAAGAGACAAATCAGTTTTTTTAACGATATTTAGAAAAATATTTTATGAAGAAATTATGGAGAGACAATCGTGTCGTTTTAAAAAAGAATAATACAAAATAAGAGGAAACTTGTGGAGTTTCGACAAGTGATATTATAGAAGAATAGTGGATACAAAAGACCCTTATTATTTATGCTCCTTTCTTCTAATTCTCTATTTTCTATTTTTTTATGTCTATTTTACAGTTCGATCATATTTCTTCGATTTTTTATCAAAATCGAGGAAAAGGATCTTTATTTATAAATAGTATAACATTAATATCTACTTCTCTTTGGAGGCGTTTGCGCCATTTTTTTTTTAGCTCCTAAGGGAAGATTAGGGAAGCTAGAGAGTTGAGAAACGTACGTTGAATATTGTGAAAGAGCAATAAATTTTTTAGCAAGAATATAAATATCAAGTTTTAAAAAATAAAAACTTGTTTATATATATATTTTTCTCTTCTCTAAACAATGGCAATTAAAGTCAACAATTTTTTTCTTCAGAAATGAACAATAAAATTTTCAGCCTCTTGGATATTTTTATTTTAAAGAAGCTTAATATTTTTTTTGTGAAGTAAAAAAAAATACTTCGATTATAAAAAAAATGTTATTAACAAAGTTATTCTTTAACAAATTTTTTTTAACTTTATGTCATATTCTTTTAGTTGTCAAATTTGTCATTGTTCCTTGATTTAATTGCTCAATAGAGAAATAGAGGGAATATTGTTTTCTAGTTGAAAATAAAGGACGAACAAATTTATAGGAATTACAAAAAAAAGACATGAAATTTTTTTTTTAAACAAATTCTCTAGTAGAAAGATGTTCGATATTCTAAATATATAAATTACGATTTTTTTTTTTTTTTTGAGATTCATCGATTATTTTTCGCAATTATCGAGAAATAAAATTTGAGCTTTCCTATTGAAGCCTTGCTTCCTGAGGAGTCGTTTGATATGGCAAACCAGGAAATGCTGCTCCTGCTGTCGCTGCAGCTGGTAATCCAGTCGCTCCCGGTAAAGTTGCGTACGTGTACGGCGTCACATAACTTGCCGCCGCTGCTGCTGCATTTGCTGCAAAAAAAAAAAAAATTATTAATTTTTTTATTTATTTGAATTTCAAAAAAAAAAAAATTCATATCAAGAGCAAAAGAAATTTTCAAATACTTCTAATATACCGGTTGGAATGTAAAATTTCTTAAAAATTGGAAAACTACTTGAAAATTTGAAAATTCTACAACATGGAGTTAAAAGATTTGAAAATTTCCATTATTTTTTTTTTATTTGTGAAAAAAATCAGGCAACGAGCGCAAGCGATGCTCAATCGTTGCAGATTACCGTTGGTCATTTTAACCCACCACCACCACCACAGACAGCTCACAGCATTTAAATGTGTATATGTCGATCGCATAATAGATATGATAGGAACGTAAACATGCAAGATTGCGTTTTGAATTTTTTTTTCTCCCCATTTTTTTTACTCCTTTTTACCTATTTTCTACTTCTTCTATTATTCATTCTCGTTCATTGATTTTAATTTCCTTTTATAAACCGAGACAAATATAGTTTTGCATTTTAATAATTTATAACATTCCTCTATTGAATAGTGCACTTTATTGTTTTCTTTTTTATCTCGATTTATTAATGTTAATAATTATCAATTGCATAACAAGTATTCTTTTTAATTTGAAATAAAAATAGTTTAATAAGCGAGAGAAACATAGGAGAAATATAAAATTGGTAGCGACCCTGATGACCAAAGCAAAAAAAAATTAGTAGTGGCAAAAAATACCTTACAAAAAATTAACTTTATTAAAAAAAATTATAATAGTAAAAAAAAAAATAAATTAGTTGAAAAAAGTACCAAATTTTTGTAAATTCAACCCTATATTTTAAATATTTATATTTTCTATAAAAAATGATTTTAAAAAAATATTCATTTTATCGTCAATTTTCCACATTTAAGCAGATTTTTGAAATACGATGATTTGCAAAAGCAATAGTGAAAAAAAATATTTAGCTAGTCTAATGTGCAAATTTTGATACGAAAGAATATTAAAATTTACATTTAAGAAAGAAAGCGTCAATCAAAAAAATATAGAAAAAAAAATTATTCCAGAAAAAAAAATTAAATAAATATGACTAATTTTGCAAATTAAAAAAAATTCCTTTTTCTCTTTATAAAGCAAAAATTTTTCTAAGACTTAAAAAAAACTTTTCTATTATCTAGAAATTTAATGTTTATAAAGTAGGTCGACAATTTTTTTCGCAAAAGTTTCTTTTTTGGAAAAAAAATCTTTTTTCGATATTATAAATATTATTACAGTTGAAAAAAAAATTTATTTCTCGACCTACTCTATTTTTTCTTCCATCCAAAAGTACATATGTTTCATAAAATTTTACAATTGAAGATAAAAAAAATTATGTTAATTTTTATTTTTAAGGATGTCAATATAGATATTTTTAGACTGAAGGATGGAAGTATAATTTTGCAGTAAAAAAATTTATTTTAAAATTAAAAATATGCGACGTATATAGTTGCGATAGAATTTTAAGAAATTTATATTCTAATTTTTAGAATACTATTCCAATTTTAAGAATACTATTCGACTTCAAAAAAATACTATTTAACTTTTCAAATAATATTCCAATATTAATAACACTCTCCCATTTTTAAGAACACTATTCTGATTCTAGGAATACTATTTTAATTGTAAAAGTACATTTGCAATTTTAAAAATACTAATCCGTTTTTAGGAATACTATTCTAATTTTTAGAATACCATTCTAAATTTCAGAATATCATTCCATTTTTAAGAATACTATTCGAATTTTTAGAATACTATTCCTTTTTTAAGAATGTACTGTTCAAATTTTTAGAATACCATATTATTTTTAAGAATACTATTCTAATTTAAAGAATACTATTCCACTTTTAAAAATACCATTCGACTTTTTATAATACTCATACACTTTTAGGAATACTATTCTAATTACAGGAATACTATTTGAATTGTAAAAGTACTTTTCCAATTTTAAAATACTTTTCAATTTTTAAGAATACTATTCTAATTTTAAGAATGCTATTACACTTTTAAAAATACTATTTGAATTTTAGGAATACTATTCTATTAAGAATATTTTTCAATTTCTTAAAATATGTTATACATTCTAATAAAAAAATATTCTAAATTTAACAACAAATATTCTTGATTCAAGAATAAATGCATTTAATTGATTTTATAATATATGCCCTACTTCATCGAGAATTATATAAAAACCAATTTTTTACAATCGAAAAATAACATTAAAAGGGAAAATTGTATAAAAGTTAAAATATTTCTTTTTGAAATATTTCGTAAAGATCTGTTTGAAATTCTGAATAAATACTAAAACCAAAAAGATTATGTTAATTTTTTTACATCTGTTATAGATATTCAAGAAAAATTGAATTATAAATTTATGTAATTTTTTTTTGTTCAACCAAATTTCACACCTGTGAACTTTATAATAAAAACATGTGTGTTTGTAAATTTTAATAAATAATTTCCATTCTACATAAAATTATGATTAAAAAAAGTCCCAAGAAATTAATTGAAAAAAAAGATGTTTCAATATATTTGATGATATATTTTAGAATTAAATGTTCTAGTTCTGCTTTTCTTGAATATTTCAGACAATAATTAACGTAAGCAATGAATTTTGGTAGTTTTTCTTTATTTTCAAAATAAATTAAATCAAATATTTTCTTCAGTGAAAAAAAGAATAAATAAAAAATTTTTTTCCAATGAAAAAATATTATTTGTATCATCTTCATAGTTTTAAGGAGAATTATTTACGTCAGTGATTCACAATAATTCATTTTGACTCTTTAATTTTAGAAATTTAATTATAAGTCAGTTATGAGTTACCAAGAGTCAGTCAAGACTCTTATAGTCACTTTAGGGTCTTTTTTATTCATGATTTATTTTCAAAATTTACTCATCCATTTTTTTAGAGTCATCAAGAGTCAGAAAAGTGTTGTATTCAGTCTCATTTGAGTTATTTTGACTCAATTTCAGTCACCAATTGTAAGACAAGAGTTACATTTAGTCGATTTGGGGATACTTTGACTCATGATTTCTCAAAATTTACTTAGAAGCAATTTTTGAGTCACGAAGAGTCATAAAAATTTTGCATTTTGTCACTTAAGAATAATTTTGACTCATTAGGTATTTTAACTCACTTATGAGCAATTCATGAGTCACTAAGAGTTAGAAAAGAGTTCATAAGTCAGAAAGAGTTAGAAAATTGTTGGATTTTGTCCCTTTAGAGTCAATTTAATTCTTCAGGTTTTGTAACTTTTGTTTGACTCAAGATGACTCATGACTCATTGATCATGAGTCACCAAGAGTCAAACAAGTCTTACATTCAGTCACATTTGAGTCATTTTGACTTTTTAGCTATCTTTTGACTTATAGGCGCGTTATGAGTCATCAATAGTCAGTAAAAAGTTATACTTAGTCACTTTGGCGTCATTTTGACTCATGTTTCTCAAAATTTACTTAAAAGTGATTTTTAAGTCACGAAGAGTCAGAAGAGAGTGATATTTAGTCACTTTGGAGTAATTTTGTCTCTTTAGGTATTTTACCTCACATTTTGCCTCATGAGTGAGTCAAGAGTCATAAGGAGTCAAAAAATTGTTTGAGCTTGTCACTTTAGAGTCAATTTGACACTACATGTGTTGTAACTATTGTCTGACTCTTGGTGTTTCATGGCCATGATTCATGAGACATGAGTCATGAGTCTCAAAAGTAAAAAAAGAGTTACACTCTGTCACATTGGAGTCATTTTGACGCTTCAGGTCTTTTTCTCGCATATAAGTGAGTCATGAGTCAACAATAGTCAGTCAATAGTTACATAGTCATTTAAAATCTTTAAATTTTTTAACTCGCACTTTATGAGTCATTTTGGATTTATTTTGAATTTTAACTCACATTTTGGCTTAAAAGTGAGTCAAGAGTAAAAAAAAATGTTTCATTTAGTCACTTTAGAGTCAATTTGAGTCCTCATTTGTTGTAAATGTTACTTTACTTTTGTTGTCTCAAGACTCATTAGTTATGAGTCATCAAGAATCAGACAGTTACATTCAGTCACTTTGGAGTCATTTTGACTCTTTATGCATTTTTACGTTTCTGATTCTTGAGCCACTAAGAGTCAGAAAAGAGTGACATTCAGTCCCTTTTGAGTCATTTTGACTCTTTAGGTATTTTAACTCACTTATAAGTGATTCACGAGTCATTAAAAGGCAAAAAAGATTTATACAGTCATTTTGATTCATGATTCCTCAAAGTTTACTTATAACTGATTCTTGAGTCACCAAGTGCCAAAAAAGAGTGACATTTAGTGACATTTTATCACTTTTGAGTCATTTTGACTCTTTAGTTACTTTAACTCATTTGAATGTGATACATGAGTCACTAAGAGTCAGAAAAAAGTTACCTTGTCATTTTAGAATCATTTTGAATCTTTAAATATTTGAAATCATATTTTGTCTCAGAGGTGAGTCAAGAGTCATAAAGTGTCAGAAAAGTGTTTAATTTAGTCAATTTCGAGTCAATTCGGCTCTTTAAGTGTTGTAAGACTTGTTTAACTCTTGGTGACTCAGGTCCCATTAGTGATGAGTCATAAAGAGTCATACCAAATTTATTCAAATCAAAGTCAAATAAAATTTAGTCATTTTTGAGTCATTTTGAGTCTTTAGGTATTTTAACTCACTTATAAGTGATTCAGGAGTCAGTAAGTGTCGAAAAAGAGTTACACAGTCATTTTAGAGTCATTTTGATTTATGATTTCTCAAAGTTTACTTATAAGTGATCCTTGAGTCACCAAGTGCCAGAAAAAAGTGTCATTTAGGCACTTTTGAGTCATTTTGACTCTTTGGGTACTTTAACTCATTTGAATGTGATACATGAGTCACTAAGAGTCAGAAAAAAGTTACCTTGTCATTTTAGAATCATTTTGAATCTTTAAATATTTGAAATCATATTTTGTCTCAGAGGTGAGTCAAGAGTCATAAAGTGTCAGAAAAGTGTTTAATTTGGTCAATTTTGAGTCAATTTGTCTCTTCAAGTGTTGTAACACTTGTTTGACTCTTGGTGACTCAGGTCCCATTGGGGATTAGTCATGAAGAGTCAAACCAAATTTATTCAAAACAAAGTCAAATCAAATTTAGTCATCAAAGTTGATTTGATTGAGTCATCTTGACTCTTTTTAGGTTTTAGGTATTTTAACTCACTCATAAGTGATTCATGAGTCAGTAAGAGTCAAAAAAGAGTTATACAGTCATTTTTGAGTCGTTTTAATTAATGATTTTTCAAAGTTTACTTATAAGTGATTCTTAAGTCACCAAGTGCCAGAAAAAAGTGACATTTAGGCACTTTTGAGTCATTTTGACTCTTCAGGTACTTTAACTCATTCATATGTAATACATGAGTCACTAAGAGTTAGAAAAGAATTACCTAGTCATTTTAGATCATTTTGAATCTTTAAATATTTGAAATCATATTTTGTCTCGGAGGTGAGTCAAGAGTCATAAAGAGTCAGAACAGTTTTTAATTTAGTCAATTTTGAGTCAATTTGGCTCTTTAAGTGTTGTAATTCTTGTTTAACTCTTGGTGATTCAGGTCCCATTAGTGATGAGTCATAAAAAATTTATTCAAATCAAAGTCAAATCGAATTTAGTCATTTTTGAGTCATTTTGACTCCTGCGAGTCATACAAGAGTCAAAATTTAGCCCTGAATTACTAGAATGAACACTTTTTTTCAAAAAAAATTTCCAGTCGTGAAAATGTGAAAATTTGGTTTCTACTAATAATTCTCAATGTGCATATATTTTTTTTTTTTTAATTTAGAGTAAAATAAATTTTTTCAATGTAAAATATGTTTTTTTTCTTTAAGTTTTAACGAAAAATCTGCCAATCATTTTCATTAGAATCGCTACCATTGCCACGGAGTATGGTTGGCAGATATTGTGGCAGGAGCACTTTTCCCAAGCGTTGATGTGCCATCAGAGTCTGGTTGGCGTTGCTGTGCTGAGTGTGGTGTAGGTGAGTCAGGTTGATGTCGTTGCACTTGCTCGTAGGATTTTTCAAAGACATACCAGCGGCTGCTGCACTGGTATAAGGATAGGCCTCAGCAAAATTGTACGACGTTCCCGGATAGGTGGCTGCTGCTGCAGCTGCATTTTGATACTCATAAAATTGTGAGGCTGCAGCAACTGCTGCCGCATGACTCAATTGCGTCGCCGGAAGTGGCACTAATCCTCCTGGCGTTGCTGCTGCTGTTAAATACGGCGACTGATACATATATCCAGGTGGAACACTGTAAAAAAAACAATTTTCTTAATCATTTCAATTCATTTTTTTTTTTTTTTACAAAAATTCATTTTAAAATCACTATCAAAATCACAATAGTAATGAAAGTTAAAAATTGTACTATATAATTTTTTTTTACAAAAATTGACTATGAAAAATGTAATAAAAATGTTCTATTTAACTTTCAACACACCTGTGAATTTGATAAGAAGATATTTTGTTACGGATGCTTTCATTGTGTTTATGAGTTTATGAAACTGAGTAAACATAAAACCAAATGGTGTTGAAGCAGAATAATTGAGATTAAACTTTACCTTCGCTTTTAAAACATTCGTCTTGTTGGAATACAAGAAAAAACATTTTAAAAGAAAAAATTAATTTAACAAAAATATATTTCCCAATAACGAAAAAAAATATTCAAAATGATTGGTATTTACATTTAAATTTTTCAAAAATTGCCTAAAACTTCCGTATTTTTTTTTTTTTTTTTTTTGCTAAGTCCCTGAAACTACCAAAAAAACCAAACAAATAAACAGCAAACGAAAGAAAAATTAATCTTGGGACAAAATACGGAAGTTCGAAGCTTTGTTGATGAATAATTAGAAAGTAGAAGAAAATATTCTGTGAGTTCGAAGTAGCAGAGTCTCCCCACTCTCTGCATATTGCGCGCGCATCGCTTTGAAAGAAGGTGATTGATCCTCGCGGTCTTATCAATTGCGCGCGCAACAACCAGAGCGTCACTAATTCGAACTCTCCAAAATTTACAATAAATTGTATTTTTACAATAAAGTTTACAATAAATTGTATTTTTACAACAAAATTTACAATAAATTGTATGTTTACAATAAAATTTACAATAAATTGTATTTTTACAATAAAATTAACAATAAATTGTATTTTTACAATAAAATTCACAAAAAACAATAAAAAAATATATAATAAACAATAAAATAAAAAAATAATTTACAAGAAAATTGTTTTTCATTAATTTTGAATAAATAAAATGATAGTATACAGAAGTAATATAATCTAATAGATTGTAAAGCGTAAGGAAGCATTGGTAAACACTGACAATGCTCTCACGTGAATAAAAATTAGAGGCGACACAAAAACAATCAAAGAAATAGTGTCACCAAAATAAAAAAAAAATTAAAAATTAGAAAGAAACGGCAAACCAACATCAAACGTGTAGGTACTTTATAGTAAAAAAAAAATACTTCTCGGCACACGACACACGATATTATCTAACACCAACGTTAGTACCTAATTGTAAAACGCGATATACTTTATATATACAGTAGGACGCCAATTAAATTTTAAATAATGGAAAATGTTATAAACAATAGATTCCATGATAGGAAAGAGGAAGCCATATTAAATGCATTAGACGCCTTTTCATTCTTTAATAAAATAATTAAATTAATAATTTTTTTCTTATTTTCTCAAAATTTTATGCAAAAATTTTTATTTTTAATCCTAATTTTTATCAAAAATTTTTATTTTTTCAAAATTTTAATTTATATCAAAGTTTTTATTTTTTCAAAATTTTAATTTTTATCAAAGTTTTTATTTTTATCAAAATTTTTAATTTTTATTAATAAATTAGTACTAATTACTGAATTATTGAAATTAGATTAGAAATTAGAAATAGAAGTTAAATCAGATAACTTTTTTAGTAATATTATTAATAATTTCAATGAGTAGATATTGTTTTTCGTTTCGACTTATTTGAGTTTAATTTATTTGGTATAGAAGATGTTAAGGACTAAAGTGTCAATTTTGCATTTAATTAGTTAATGTATTGACTTATTAAATGAAAATTGAGACTGTAGTCCTTTACATCTTATACTGTATAAATTATAAATAATTGTGTTTATTTGTTTTACTTATTATGTATCATCTCATTTATTTTTGTATTTATTCCTTACTTTAGTTCTGTATTAAATTTTTTTTTTATAATTTTTTCCTTTTGTAACAAAATTACCAAAATTTTTGTTTTTTTTTTAATTTTTCTTGCAGTTTCTTTCTTTTGTAACAAAAATAACAAAAATTTTTGGTTTTCAAATTTTTTTTTTGTAATTTTTTCATTTGTAACAAAATTACCAAAAATTTGCAAAAATCTGTCAAATGACTCGGTTTAAAAAAAATACACAAGAACGTTACATTTTAAAAAAATTAAATTTTATTTTAACCTTTTTTGTAATTATATTTTCTTAAACATACTAATTTTTGTGAGATATGATTTTTTATACTAAAAAAATGTATTTCTTTAAGTAATTTTTTTAAATAAAAAAAAAAATTTACTCTTCTTTTTAAGAGGACGGTTTGATTACATTTTTATTTATTTTATTTATTTATTTATTTATTTATTATTTATTTTTACTTATTTTTATTTATTATTTTTATTTATTTATTAGAAACTTATTTAAATTTATTTATCAGAAAATAAAATCATTCAAAAAATTTTTGGTCACCTTTTGAATTTTTATTTTTTTAATTTAATGTATTTTAATTAAAATTTATCCGTAATTTTGTAGAAAATATATTTTTATATTCACAAAAAATTTGCCGTATGAAAAAATTGATTTTTTTTGAAAAAGAACAAGTTTTTTTGGTTGAAAATGTTAAAAAAAACCATGTTATTAAATTTTTTTATTTGAAAATTTATTTGTTTACTTTTTTAACTAATTTCAAATATTTAAATCATAATATTTTAAATTAAAAAACATAAAATATGTAAAAAATTACAATAAAATTATGATTTGAAATTAGAAAAATAAACAAATGAATTTTCAAATAAAAAAATTGAATAACAATGGTATTTTTGAACATTTTGAACCTAGAAAACAATGTTTTTTTTCAAAAAAAGCTACAGTAATAGTAAAAATCAATTTTTTCATTCGTCAATTTTTTTTTAATACAAAAACATATTTTCTACAAAATTAAGGGTTGATTTTACAATCTATTAATTTAAAGAAAAATAAAAATTCAAAAAGGGTCAAAATATTTTCTGATCCTAGAATTCTTCACAAAAAATTACTTTAAAAATAATTTTATCGAAGATTTAAATCATTTTCTTAACATAGTTAAAAATGTAGCCGAATCCTCCGCTCAAATTTTTTTCCTTTTTTTAAATTTTACATCCTTATGCTAATAATTTAGAAATAAGTGAACAAATGTCAAGCATTTCAAGTTTAATAGGAAAAAATAGTAAAATAAAAAAAAATTGAAATAATAAATAAATTTGACGCGCTCTACATGAAAGATTTTCAAGAGGCAAAAAATTTTAGGTTATGTTTGTAATTTTTTAAATAAAAATACACAAATGAGATTGACTTTTAATATAAACTACTGGTTTGAGTCTTCATTATAAATTCAATATATTCGATGAAAACTAATTTTTGTTATAAATTAAACCACGAAATTTTTAATTAAGGTAAAAATAGTGGAAACATAACCTTACAGCGATTTACTTCTTTACCTTTCTTCAGGGCATGTCATAAATACAATAATAATAATCAATTATTACAGTAATAAATAATATACAGTAAATGATAAATAATAAATAAATAATAAAAAACAATAAAACCAAAAAAATTTTAAAAACAACAAAGAATTTAAAAAAACAAAAATTTTTGAAATCAACAAAATTAATTGTTAAAATAATATTTAATTTTCGTAGAATGTAACATTTTTATAAAAAGTTTACTATGTTTTCGATACCGATACGGTTAAAATTAGAGACAACGAATTCAATAACCGACTTTACTATACGTATATATCACGAATACGAAACTTTATACTAAACTAATTTAAAGACTTATTTTTTGCAAATGAAAATAAAAAAAAAAAGAAAATTGATTGAAATGAAAAATATTGGGGGAAAAAATTTGCATTTTAGCGATTCGAGGAATCGGGTGCCAAAGGTTCCATTTCCTGGACAGCCCTGAACTTTCCATTGGGTCGATAATGACCAGTGTCCAGTCTACAAAAGGGAATCAATATTCGTCCTGCGACCTCGAATGTCAACTCTGCGGAAATAGATTAGTGTCCCAAAGACAATAATTGCGTCCGTCCAGAATATATTCCACTCAAAACGCATCAGAACTGAGAATAAATTCAATTTTAATTCTAAACAATTACTGTGAATCCAATGAATCGATTTATAGATCGATTTCTTATGCAATTTTATCTTCAAATGAAATTTTACATCTAAAATATAAATCATAAGTGTTAGATATCAATGAATTATTTTTCACCACTTGTCACCACTTTGCGATGAGAAATTCGAGAAAATTTTTTTTTCAATTACAATTTTGTCGAGAACTATTTTGTTTTTGATTTTCGACAAGAATTTTGTTGTCTTCGTTATTAAATTTTCCCACGATTTAAAATATTCTGTTGTTTGATAATATTTTTGTAAATTTTACAAGAAAAATTACAAAGTGAAAGCGAGGCTTATTTTGAGTTGCAGAAAAAAATGAGGGACTTTTCCCTTTAGAATAAAAAGAAAAATAGGGGATATAATTAGGTACACGCGATAATTTTTTTTTTCTTTTGTATTATAACGATTTACAATTGTAACATTTTTCTGCGCAAACCGCTTTTTTTAAGGCTCAATTATCTTCCGGTGAATCTAAACGTAGGTCCCTGCAATAATAAATAGCTCGCGTGCCTTTGAAATTCAGTCCTATATTATGAAGTCAAGCTTTCGGTGTAATTTTGAGCTGCACGAAAATAAACGAGAAATTTTACTATACTTTCATAGTAAAAACTAAAAATTCTAAATCTTTCTATTTTTGGTTGTAAATTTTCTACTATTTTTCGATTCTTCTCAATTCGATATTTTACTATTTTTAATTATAAATTTTACTACTTAGTTTTGTAAATTTCACTATTCTGAATTGCGAATTTTCGGTTGTAAATTATCCTACTCTCGATTGTGAATTTTACTATTTTCAAAAGAAATTTTAGAGAAAAATAATTAAAACTACTATCGTAAATTAA